CAAGTGCTTCAGTATAATTGAGAAATAATCAATCATAATTTGCGATAATCAATTATAAGTTAAAATGATCGAGTATAATTGGAAAATAATCGATCATAATCTGTGATAATCGATTATAAGTTAAAATGATCAAGCAGTGACAGATCTTGACCATTGATCTTGAGGGAGTCAAATAATATATTATTAATAAATAATAAATAAATATAAAAAGAAGAAAGAAGATGAAAGGGTGAAATGATAAAATTATATATATACTTAAATATATTAAATGATCATTAAGTTTGAGGGGACAAAATCATAAATTATATGAGAGTTACAAAACTGAGTTGTAAATATATAGGTAAATATATTAAATGTTCATTAATTTTAGGGGGCCAAAATCATAAATTACATGAGAGTTACAAAACTTTGAGGGGCCACGACCCCTCTCGCTCCCAAGAAGATCTGTCACTGTGATCGAGTATAATTGAAAAATAATCGATCATAGTCTGTGATAATCGATTATAAGTTAAAATAATCGATTATAAATACAAAATAATCGATCATAATTTGCGCTAACCGATTATAAGTTAAAATTCTCGATTATAATTGGAGAATATCGATCATAGTTTGTGCTAATCGATTATAATTTTACACAATCTGTCATAATTAATAATAATCAATTATAATTTCGCTTTGCATCTCTCTCGCCGGTGCACGCAAAAGATCGTTGTCTCCCACCTGTGGTTCTCACTCTCCTCTAGTTCGTCTATGTTTAATATGGGGTTCTATTTAATTGGTTTACGGTTTAATATGGTTGTTGATTTCAGTTGTAATTTTAATTTGATGCTTCATATCTTGTTGACTGAATTTCCCTTTTATTTACACGTAAGGTTCGCTCGAGCGACTTTATTGTCAATTATTTTTAATTATGACAGATTACTTAAAGTTATAATCGATTAGTTTCAAATATAATCTATTAGAAACAATTATGATCAATTACCCAATTATAATCGATCATCTTAACTTATAATCGATTATAATATAAAATAATCAATTATTTTATCTGCGTTGGGTATTCTGAGGTTGTATTTCGCTCAAGCAAAGCAAATCTCGCTCGAGCGACAAGTCATTGAAATATGTGGTTACCCAAGTTATATTATGTCGCTAACTGTGTTCGACCTTTAGTCTGTGGTCAACACTCGCTCAAGCGAGACATCCATCGCTTGAGCGAGGAGACCTGCAAATAAAGGGGATTCTCGCTCAAGCGAGAAAAATCTCGCTCTAGCGACAAGTGATTCAAATATGTGGTGACTCATGTTACTTTATGTGGCTAACTGAGTTGGATTGTGGTCAACACTCGCTCAAGCGAAAAACACACCACTCGAGTGAGGACACCTACAAATAATAGGCATTCTCGGGTTGTGTTTCGCTAAAGCAACAAAATATCGCTTGAGCGACATCTGATTGAAATATATGGTGACTCATGTTACATTATGTGTGACTAACTGTGTTAGACCTTTAGTTTATGGTCAACTCTCGTTTAAATGAGAAATTCATCGCTTGAGCGAGGAGACCTCCACATGATGGGGATTCTCGGGTTGAGTTTCGCTCAAGCGACTCAAATCTCGGTCGAGCGAAAACAGATTGAAATATGTGGTGACCCAAGTTACATTATGTGACTAACTGTGTTGGACCTTTAGTCTTTGCTTAACACTCGCTCAAGAAAAAAATACACCACTTGAGCGAGGACACCTGCAAATAATGAGCATTCTCAGGTTGTGTTTCACTCAAGTGATGGAATCTCGCTCGAGCAACATCTGATTGAAATATGTGGTGACTCATGTTACATTATATAGCTAATTGTGTTGGACCTTTAGTCTGTAGTCAACTCTCACTCAAGTGAGAAATCAATCGCTTGAGCGAGGAGACCTCCACATGATAGGGATTCTCGGGTTGAGTTTCGCTCAAACGACACAAATCTCGGTCGAGTGAAAACGGATTGAAATATTTTGTGACCCAAGTTATGGTTAAGTGTTAATGACCAATTTTTTTTGTATGCAACATATATGGTTAACTGTGATGGACATTTAGTCATGTTTTGCTGTTGGATTAACCATACATGTGCTGACCACCCCAAGCTTATCCCAATAACTGAACATGGCAGTTTCATGTATGTATAAACATGCTAACTTGATTGAGTCCAACATATATGATTAATTCTCAATGACCAGTTTTATTTATATGCAACGTATATGGTTACCTCATTCAGATTATATGGTTAATTGTGATGGACATTTAGTCATTTTTTACTGTTGGATTAACCATATATGTGTTGACCACCTCAAGTTTATCTGTTTAACTGAACATGGCAATTTCATGTATGCACATACTAATTTTATTGAGTCCAACATATATCATTAATTGTCAATTACCAGTTTTGTTTATATACAACGTATATGGTTACCTCCTTCAGATTATATAGTTAATTGTGATGAACATTTAGTCATTTTTTACTGCTGGATTAACCATATATGTGTTGACCACCTCAAGTTTATCTGTTTAACTGAACATAGCTTTTTGTGTTAATCATATGCTAAGTTTATATAGCCCACATTATATGTTTAACTGTAAATGACATATGTTTAACCACTTTACTATATATCATTAAATGCACATAAACATACATGATCAGCCGAACAACACATCGAACGAAGATACAATGCTATCACTATGAGATAAAGAGTAATGTACAATATAACATTATCACAAACCATAAAAATTACATGATAAAGGTATGCATCAAATATAAATTACAATTACAAGAAAACCTAACAAAATAATTCATCTACACAACACTTATATTGCCTTTTTTCTTTTCCTTGAATTAGTCGTCCACGGTGTGTTGACCATAAAGCTTTTTTATACCTTATTCTTGGATGAGCTTTAAATCGAGTGTACATATTTGACAATTCACAATGGAACTTTAATTCTTCTGTTACTTCAGTATGATGTTTCATCTCCTTAATACTACTACCTTCAAATACAAGAGAAAAGTACATCCCACATAATGGAGGATTTACCTCTTCTGTTGATAGTTTTACTTCATCTAACAATTCCTGTAATTGTATTACATTCTCCTCTAGTTTTTCAATTGTTGATTCTTGTTGTTTAATAAGGGCAATCAACAATTGATTCTCAGCAATAATTCCACACAACATATTAGTACAATTTTTCAATTCTTTAGATACATGAGTGATATATTCTAACGCTTCTTTCACTATATCATGAATAAGCTCTTCATTTCTGACGCACAAGTCATGAATAACCTATGAATAACAAACAATATCAAATTGAAATCACATTTTCACATATGGTAAAGTAATATTGTAAACAAGTTCACTAAATTTTTAATGAACTAACCCTTTTATGATTAAACGCAACTACAATCTTACTTTCCCCAATTACAACAGAGGTCCATTGTAAAAATCTCGGAAATCGACTTATCTCATTACATGATTTGGTATTATAAAGTAGATGCTCCATAGCCCATATCTGAATTTATATAAACAAAATGCATAATATCAAATCAGATGACTATATTGAAAGTATTCTAACAAAACATATATCATAATTTAGGATTTACCTGTAACAAAAACACACATCCTAGTACATGCAAGTGTGAACAATTTCTTCGTTTCTTCAAATAAATTGATGCTTCACATAAACTTCCAAACAGATATTCATACACTGCTTTTCCCCAATTATACTGTCTAAGACAAGATATATTATCTATTAACTTAAAAAACCCACAATGTGCGATACCTAGTTTATTAGGGAATAAAAACTCTGACAAACCTAAAAGTATGTACAACCTACAAAAGTCATTGACATCCTTATCATTTTTACATTTAACAAGTTCATTAAAAATTATTTCCACAGTAACATGTTTCTTAGTAAATAGTCTCCTAGTATGACAATCAATATTTGCTTCTACAATTTTGACATTTTCTCCTACTACACGAAGTTCTAAACCTAAACACACATCTAACAGTGTAAAACATATTATCTCAAACCTTATATTAAACCCTATTCTCTTTTCAACCCATCTACTTATTAATTCACTAAGCAATGTTCTACTAATTTTAACCTTTCTACCCAATGACATCAACAATTTAAATGGTGTTGACTCAATACGACCTTTTTGCTCTGTTGTAATAATGTTATTTACTTCACCTAAATAATTTGTCCTACAAACATGTCGCAAATATACCTAAAAATCAAAATAAATAATTAGAATTATCACAAAGAATATCCAATATTATACAAATAGATACAATATTCACCTTCTTAACATTTGAACATCCATCATCTATGTTTCCATGTCTTTCCATTTCAAACTGCAAATACATGTACTAGGTAAACAAAATTGGAATTTATATGAAACATTGTCCATTTTATTTGTTACATCCTCTGTTAATTTTTTTAATATTGTCAACCAGTCAGAAATCAGGTTAGGTATAAATTTTACGACAAATTACTATAAATGTCAACAAACTTATCATACAATTTCTGATTGGATGACAGAATAAAAATAATTTACATTGTCAATGCATATACTATTCACTCATCTTTTATTTGAGTGTACACTTTTAGAAACAATGTCATAGAGTATTGTCAAATTAAGTTCAAAGACAAGGGAATAGAATCTGTTTTCATAATCCATGTGTCTAAGGTCTCTACCAAACACAAAAATGTCCATAATATTATTTGATATTATAGAAATCTGTTGGTGCTTCATTCCTCTACAAAATCAACATCTCCCAAACAGATTACAACATTTTTTAGTATTCTCACCAAAACCAACCAGTTAGTTGATTTCTTCTTAAATGAAAGCCTTATTGAAATTTAGAAATTCTTTAAACGAAGTCCACATTAGAAAAACTCTACAAGGCACAAACAACCAATGGATAACAGTTTTCCCATAAATTCAACCCCACCTACACCAGCCATCAAACCTCATGACACACAAGCCATCATCACGGTTCCTTCCACTCAAAGCCTGTGACAGTTCATTCTACCACACCAGTTCCTTCACCCCCTACAACACAAGCCAGTCCAAGGGAGCAACCAACTACCACCCTTTGACTTCTTATCCTTCCTCACCAGAAAGTGTTTTTACAACAAAAAATACCACCATTAAATATGAAAACTCAGTATCAGAATCATATAAATCCAACACAAGTAATCAGACATGGGGATAAATAAATTAAATTACAATAACCAGAGGACAGACAATAAACATGTCACAGTTTCTTAAAGCAAAAAAATCATATCAAAATATCTAAGGGGAGATAGTTCAACATATGGCAAGGAAACAATTCGATATTAATCAAAGGATTGCTTCTAATCCCAACCACCATCAGTTGGTCTAAACTTGGTCTAAACAAAATCATGAACAATTATCCCAAATAAACTCAAATCTTAGAAAACAAGAACTTATCTTCACATAAAGATAGAGAGTAGGGCAAGCGATGAAGATAACGCGAGCATGGACGTCACCGCAGAGTGAGAACTTCTTCAAAGCTTCCTCCAACATCAAACTAATGTTGCTGCTCGACGACTAATTCTTTTAGGACAACAATCGTGTGGGAGCTGATGCGCCGAGAACTTCCTATGAGCACCGAGAGAGAGAAAAGTGAAATACAGAGTGGAGAGCGGGAAGCGAGAGGGAAAGAAGAAATCAAAATTTAATATTATTTTATACGCAATTATAAATTTAATATTATTTTATACATAGTTGTCTTTTAAATGTATGTACGCGATTGTCAAAATATCGGCACCTAACAAAATTATAAGGTTTGATTATGATCGAGATGGACCATACAAAAAAAAGTTAATAGAATAAAAAAATTCATATAACAAAAAAATTTAAAGGATCCAAATGTCCACAAGACTAACTCATTGACCAAATTTTTCAAAGTAAAAAATTTACTTTAAAAATGAGAGTTCTAAAAAGAATTTACTTTAAAAATAATTATATATACATAAAAAACCATTAACTTATTCTAAATTTTGAATGTTTCCATAATTTAATTTAAATGATTTTCATTAATATCATAATCTAAAATAAAAATAATTATATATTCAAACATGAATTAATTTCAAATCTAATTAACATTGATTCATATCAGAAAAATTGAACTTTTATACCCAACTTTTGATATCATTATAATAAAGAGAATATTAACAATATAGGAGCGCTTAAATAAGTTTATCATAATAACTATGATCTTATTTTATTCCAATTATTAAATATAATAATATAATTTCATTTCATTTGTATTTTTTTTAAATATTTAAAATAAAAAAATATATATAAATATTATCATAATTATTTATAAAATAAAAGTTTATTTATGATTATTTATTTCATAAAAATAAAGTTTTTATAAATTATAATTTTTATTTTATAATTCTAACATTATTATATACTAAATATAAATATAAAATAAATAAATAAATAATATTTTTAATTATTCCACTAAAATACAAAATAATAATAATATTATAACTTTTTTTAATTTCAAAATAATTTAATAATAATAATAGTAATAACATCATGTCTTAACTATTTTTTAATTTTTCATATCGAGATTTTTTTAAACCACTCATTGATAAAGTTAATAAAAATATGAATTTCAAAAATTAAAATGTTACTATAATTAAAAACATAATTATATGTAATTTTTTTATTTTTTTATTTTATTTTTAAAAAAGCATTTATTTTTATTTCTATTTTTCTATTTTTATAATTTTGACTTTAATTAAATTAATCAAATAATTTTATTTTTATTTATTTTATTAATTTCTCATATTTTTTTACGTTTAAAAAAAAAACTAAATATGTTATGTTAGATATTTATAATCTGAATTTTCATCCAATGGTTACCATCGACTGCATGTGTAAAAATGAAATAAGTGAAGTCCTGAGATAAATATGGTGGTGGTGTTGGAAAGAGTGAGAAAAGAAATGGAGTTTGAGGGTTTACCAGAAGGCTGCATCGCCAACATTCTCTCTGGCACCACACCCATAGATGCCTGCAGGCTCTCCCTCGTTTCCAAGCTTTTCCGTTCGGCCGCGGATTCCGACGCTGTGTGGGAAAGTTTTCTTCCTGCCGATTACGGTTCCATCATATCCCAATTTCCTAACTATCCTTCCAAGAAGGCCCTTTATCTTGCTCTATCGGATCGTCCTGTCATTGTCGACAACGGCAGAAAGGTAAATATTCTGAATGATTAATTGTTTGTTTGATTTAATGATTAATTGTTCAATATGCCTAATGCAGAGCTTTCAATTGGAGAAAAAGAGTGGGAAGAAGTGTTGCATGCTTTCTGCCAGAGCTCTCACCATTACTTGGGGCGACACTGAGGAGTATTGGGGCTGGACAACCAATGCTCATTCCAGGTCTGCTCTTTCGTCTTTGTATACTAATTTAGTTAGATCGCAATTAGTGTCTCTGCTTGTGTAATTGGAGATGAGAGATTAGTGTATGCAAATCCTTAATGCTTGAGTGGTGGCTTTTGAGTCCATTCTAAGTGATCTAGAGCTTTTGGTGTTTGGTCATTGGTCAAAGTTGAAATAACATAGTGCTGTTTAGTTCAACTAAACTGGGTTCCTTTGTTATTAACACTGGGGACATTACCCAAGTCCCTTGTAGCTCTACTCTGAAACATGAGAAAGATTTCACTACCATACCAACAGCTACATTTGGAGCTGTTTAACTCATTATTGGTAGGTGGATGTGGATCTGACCTAAACCGGAAAGATAAGATTTTTATTTTCCTCGTCAGATATGAATTGTTCCTATCATCTTATTGGACCCAAATCTGAAACTCTATAACAGTGAAGGTGTTCAACTGTATAATTATTCCCTTTAAATATGGTTGACTATTATCATACTTGACAATTTCTGGACCTGAAATTAGTTATGCTGTCAATAAACTGGGTAACAGTCCTCACCTAGATGCAGTGCATCATTGTCTGCTCAGATATTTATAAGGTACTTCTGTCTAGGATCTCCTATTTTCTGCAACTTCATCCTTACACTTGCAGAGGTCTATGCTGTTGCTTAATAATCCACAGGTGTGGATACCTGCAAACCCTAAAATGTTTACTATATTTAGGGAATTCATTTTCCTCTTGAAAAATATATAAGCAATCTACTGTTTGTGGTGATTAATTTATCCGTATAGGCTGAGTGTAGGTCCTTAGCTGCTATGGAAAGTAAATTAACGTGACTATTGTATTTCCTGCACAATTTTTTCATTTCACCAACTCTATCCCTTATTTAGTTATTGTAATAATAGCAACTATTCATATTGCTTCTAAACCCTGATATAATATGATGAAGCATATAGACACTTCCTGACATTTTTTTGAGGGAAATGTATGGTGGAGTTCTCATGTTGGTTTACGCCTTAGGATTTGTTTGGACATAAGTTTGGAAAGTGCTTTTGAGAATTTTAATGCACATTCCGGAATTCCTATCCCAAATGTAGAAGGAAGAAATTGTTATTTTGGGATTAAAACCAAAGCTCTTACTCTGTTTCAGTTTGAGAGTTTCTTTATTGTCGTCAAAAATGGGAATTTGTAACATTTTTATTTGATCTTGAGGGTTAGTGTTCCGTGTAGCCAATCAATGTAATGGATTCACTGGCCTGTTGATAAGTTTGTTTTTGTTACAACTTGTAATTAGTTATTTATTTATTTATTGGTTGGTTATCAATTCCATTTTATAGTTAATGGATTGACATTTATGGATTTTTAAGATCAGAGCAATGTATCACCTGTGCAGCTATGAATCAATGAATTACTCAGCATTTTTCAGTTTCTTGTTTCAATGACTATTGTCCTGATTGTGAATGTTTTGTTTTCTCGTGATACTTTATTGTCACGAATTATTCCTATCCATGTAATTTCTTCATAAACTTTTGAACAGGTTCCCAGAAGTTGCCGAACTTAAAAATGTGTGTTGGCTTGAAATTCGTGGGGCGTTAAACACCCTTACCTTGTCCCCGAATACTCAGTATGCTGCTTATATTGTTTTCAAGACTATCAATGCCCGTGGACTTGCTAACCGTCCCGTTGAGTTAGCAGTGGATTTCTTAGGTGACCATGGTAGTACCAAAATTGTGTGTTTGGATCCAAGAGTACAATCATCAAGGAACAACAGAGTTGCGGGGTTGCAACGTCCCAATGTAAGAAGTGATGGGTGGTTGGAGATTGAGATGGGAGAGTTCTTCAATACAACTTTAGAAGATGAAGTGGAGATGAGTGTCATGGAGGTAAGGGGTGGTAATTGGAAGTCTGGTCTGGTTGTTGAAGGAATAGAACTGAGGCCGAAGTATGAGAATTAAACAAACAGGTTTTCCTGTGTAATTTAATTCACAGAACAGAACTAACTATGTACGCATGGGTATTTTTCTTCTTAGATGGCAGCATGCTGCTTGCGTATTTTAATATGTGATGTATTTTCGTGTTAAACTGTTATTTCCTTCATAAAGTACGGTTTGGTTATATTGCTTCTCTTGTCCTAATTCACCTATGGTTGGGGTAACTAGTGTATGCTAGTTCTCAATATCTATATTTTGAATGTGTCTAAGTAGTAGACGAATCAGTATTAATGAAATAATATTACAACTGAACAATTTTAAAAATTAAAAATTAAGCATCCTAGAAATTTTTAACATTGAAAATATACGGAAACATTTTAGAATATTTATATCTATGTTTCAGTAACACATAATTATATTTGTGAAAATAACTAGTTTCTTGAAAAAATAATAAATTAATATTTTTTAATGTTTGAAAAAAAAATATTCAGACAATTATTTTCTTTTAGAAATAGTATTGTTGATTGATATGTTATGAATTGTTGGTTTCGCATTGCATTTCTCACTTAATTATTTCATTTGTCTATTTCATAACTTAATTTTTAAATTTTATTTAATTTATAATATTTAAAATTGTTTATATAATTTTGTTAATTGATTATTTGTTTTATATCCAGTATTTGATGGGATGAAACTCACTAGATCCTCTTAAGAAATGATGAGTTAAGGAGTTTGTTTGTCAATTATTTTTTATATAAATTTTTTTATATATTAAATAAAACACATTTTTTAATTATATAAATATTTTATAAGTTATTATTTATTAATTAATATATTTTATTAAATAAATTAAATAAATTATTTTATTTATTTATTAAATTATAATTAATAATTTAAATTTAATTTATTAATATTTATAATTTAAATTATAATATTATAATATTTTTATATATTTTAATAATACAATATATAAAATATATAATATATAGAATTATAATTTTTTAATATAATATTAATATGTAAATATTTTTAAAAATTAATTTAGTAAATTATAATTTATATTACATTTTATGAATCGAGGTATGAAACCAAAACCTACCTACTAATTAATACTATTAACTCGTCAGTTGAAATGATAAAATAATTAAGCTATGTATTTAGTATTCCCTTTCAAAAAATTTCATATTTTATTATTCAATCTTTTCATATAAATTCTTTCTCTTATGTTATGTCACTGTTCTTTCTTTTCTCTATTTTGTACACTGTCCCCAACTTACAAATTTATGCATTTTGTTTCCTACACAATAATTAAGACTAGTGAATTTAATATATAACACTTACTCCTTTTGAATTTAAAATTATCTCTTAATATTACGAATATAACATAACCTTTCCCTCTCGTGTTAATTAAATGCACTTATCATTTATAAACATAAATATTTATAATTTTCAATTATATTATTTTTTTATCATTTAAAATTAATTTGTACTTTTAACTTGTACACATTCCAATACAAATGAGAAAAAAAAACATAACAATTACACCTTTATGTAAAAATAGGTTATTATTTACTCTAATTTAAATAAATAAATAAAATAATTTAAAACTGATTATTTCCAAACATGGAAAAAGGGTGTATATTTAAAAACAGATGGAGAAAGAGAGGGAGTGTAAAAATCCAAAAAAATTAGACATCCTTTGCAGTATCTTTCTTTCTTTATCATCTTGCTTTTGTTGAATTGATCGTGTGGCTGACACTACACTCTTAACCGCTAAGCTTCCCTCCTCTCACTGCCCTTATATATATCTTCACACATCCCTTGTTCTTTTCAATTCAACCTTGTTTTACACCAAATTCGTTCTCTCTTTCTTCTTCTTTCAATGGTGGAAGACTTCAACAACCTTCCCGAAGGTTGCATAGCCAACATTCTCTCCTTCACATCTCCTAGAGATGCGTGCAGGCTTGCTCTGGTTTCATCAACTTTCCGATCCGCCGCTGAATCCGACGCTGTTTGGGACAGGTTTTTGCCTTCCGATTTAGACACCTTATTTTTCCGATCTTTCTCCTTATCTCTCCCTTCCAAGAAACACCTCTATCTCCATCTCTGCCAGAAACCCCTCCTCATTGACCATGGCCAGAAGGTAACCGTTTATTTTAAGAAATTGTTGTTTCCTACCATTTGTCTTTTTTATCTATTGTTTAATTTTATGATTTCCATGCATTGTTAAATCCTCTTCAATTTTATGTGATGGTGATTGTTTTTGTAATAACTGTTTTGGCTGATGCGGTTATATGTGATGAATGTATTAACATGGAAAATCGAATTATACAGAGCTTTCAACTGGATAAAGTGAATGGAAAGAAATGCTACATGTTATCAGCTAGGGCTCTATCCATCGTGTGGGGAGACACTCCCAGGTATTGGAGGTGGACTTCGTTTCCCGATGCCAGGTAATCAATTCAACCATTACAATATTAAGTGTATGTTCTCAATAAGAATATATCACTGGTCCTGCAATTTCACCTAGACAATTTATTTTATGAGTAATCAATGAGATGAAATTTCTATTCTCCTGAGAAAACAACATCAGAATCAAATCATGCTTGAACTGTTTTGTTTGATTAAACATAGTGTATGAAGCAGGATATTTTAAATTGTTTCAACTATTTATATCTTATACTATTTATATCTTATACGATCTTAGAGTAGAGTTGTTTGTATAAATGTTTCTACAAACACTTTCAAGACATGAACATAACAAAGAAACAATGAATGAACTCCTTTGTTTAGCTTATCTACCAGCGAATTTGCAGTACTTCTTGTAGTTTAATAAAATTTGAATTGCAGGTTTTCTGAGGTGGCTGAGCTTGTGAGTGTGTGTTGGTTGGAAATCCGGGGCCGGATAAACACTGGCGTGCTGTCTCCTGAGACACTGTATGGGGCATACCTTGTGTTCAAGCCAAACCCTGGAGGAACCTACGGGTTCGATTACCAGTCAGTTGAAGTGTCCATTGAAATTGCTGGAGGTGAAACTTCCAAGCGAACAGTTTTCTTGGATGCCGACAGAGGACGGAGGCTGAGGTTCCAGATTGTTCCTCGACTAGCTGGAATATTCAACGGTCCACGTTTTCTTGCCACTGTTGAGCCACCCCCTGTAGAAAATAATAATAGCAGCAACAATAATAATAATAACAGTCACGATCTTCAGTACCCAAAGGAGAGAGGAGATGGGTGGTTGGAAGTGGAATTGGGAGAGTTCTTCAACAATGGAGAAGATGACAAGGAAGTGGAGATGGGTGTTAATGAGACCAAGAACGGTGATTGGAAGGGAGGCCTTTTTGTTCAAGGAATCGAGATAAGGCCTAAAACAGTACAACCATAGATTAAATCTGTGTTTATGTTTTGCTTGTCGTACCACAGTGTTGTTCTTCAATGGTGTTCAATTTTGAAGCTTCCGTGAGTAAACCAACAAAATAAACACTAATGTGTCTAAGTGTCTTGTTTGGATCCGATTCGGGGATTTGCTTGTGGGTTACGCCCTCCTTCTAGTTTGGACACATGTTTTGATTCCTTCAAAGATGTGCTGCAAAGAATTGGACCACTGACTTATGTTTATTATGTAAAACATTTTATATTTCATTTTTCAATAATATCAAGTAGGTAGGATAATGTCAGAATTTTATATATTTTATGTAAATAAGAGATAAACATCAAATTAAAGGCGTGAGATAACAATGCCAATAAATTTTTTGACAAAAAACACTTATTCCTCCAATTGGTCTAGAAATGTCTCGAAAAAACGGCCGAGAGTCATTTTTTTGGCTCTTTGGACCTTATCATTGACTGTAGATTGATTCTTCTGCAAAAAAGTGTATACTTTTTTTCTTCTTTTCTGATATTTTTTTTCCAATTAAGTGTATTAATTTGTTTTCAATGGAAAAATACATTTTTTTGTCATTTTTTATATGTAATTTTTTTACATTTTTATCTCACTATTAATTGTTATATATAACACGAATACTAACTTTTACAATAATTTTTAAATATATATATATATATATATATAATTTTTTTAAAATAATTTTTAATTAGATAAAGGTATACGTTTTAAAATTTTTTGTTTTATCTTTAATTATGAAAATAGTTTTTCCAACCAGTAACTTTTTTTTTGTATTTCATATTAAATCTGTACAAATAGATAACAGACTTGCATGAATTAATCGGTGAGTTAAATAAAAGGACCATTAAGACAATACATTTTCGTTTATATATGTTATATGATAATAAAATGTTTAATTATATTCTAAATATTTGATATTGGCAGATATTACATTGATATTTTTTTTGGACTATATATTTTAAATTGAATAGAACTCTTTATTATTTTTAATACACACAATTTCATGCTTTTAATATATTTAAAAGTATCTTAATCAAATTTAAATAGAACTTTTTCATCAGAATGTGTAATGTAAATATTGCAGCAAGAGAACTTAATATTTTAAATAATAGATTAACAGTAAAGTTCTAATTTGGTCAATAAAAAAACACAAATTTTAAAATAAAAACAACCCTTTATCTCACGTCTTGCCCAATATTTCTATTGAAATTTCAAAAGCCCTGATAATAATGAATTCCGCGACAGAATTCCAATTTGCTACAGATTAGTTAATTAAACTAATAACTTTTGGAATTGGTTTAAAATAGTTATATAAGAACCAATCTTGTACGAAGTTTAACTCATAAGAAGCTTTCATGATTATTATTTATTTTTCATTCCATAACATGGGTCAATATAGAGTTATCTGATGAAAAGGTTAAAAAGTTTAAAAAATAAGTTAGATTAGATCATATAAATTATATTTAAATTAAATTAAACTTATTTTAATTTCACATATATAAATCATAATTTATATAAATTTAAATTAGACTAATTTGTGGACTTATGAGTCATTTCATTTTATAGAATAATAATTATTTTTTAAATAAAAATATTATTTTTAAATTAAAAAATTATTTTATTTAAAAAAATGATATTATTTTATTATATATATAAATGTATTATAAATTAATTTAATTCTTATTTTAATATTGAATGAATATATTATCTTATATTTTATATATTAAATTATTATATTTTAAATAAAAATTAATTTCATTAATAAAATTTAAATTTTTAAAAATATATTTTTTAATTAATTAATTTTATATAGATATGTTAATATATTTTTTAAATCAATTAAGTCAAAATTAATTCATTAGTCTATTAATATAAGATTAGATTATACTAAAAATTTTGGTCAATTTTAAAATATAAGTTAGATTATACCATCAATCTTTCTATATGACCCATAATGACAAACTAAATTGAAAAAGATAATCCATTTTGAAAGTTCTAATAACTATCATAAATATTTCTATTTAATTTGGTTTTGACATATTATTAACTACTTTATTAAATATTTAATTAAAGAAATAGTTAGTTGTATGAAAGATTATATTGATGTGTATTTAAATATCATCCTTGTATAAATAATTTATCAATATATTACTCAAAATTTAGTAAAGAGAAATTTAATTAACATGATTATTTTAACTAATATATATATATATATATATATATATATATATATATATATATATATAACATAAAATTAACTATTGTTTTAGTGACAGATAAAATCTTAACAAAATAATTGATATATATATATATATATATATATATATGAAAATTATAAAATACGTTAATTATATTAAATATAAATTTTTATTATATAAAAATATATTTTATCCTAATTATTAATTATATAAATTATTTTGGTGAGACATTGATATAATTTTTTTTAATCGTGACTTTAAACTTTTAATATTAATAATGTTGTTTATCTTGATTAAGATTTAATTAAAATAGCAAGTAACACTTTTTATGTCAAATATAATTTTAATTCATATAAAAAGTTAATTTAAAAAATTTAACGGAATTGGTAGGGATTAGTTAATATTCCGATTAATTAAGAAACTATTTATTTCAAGTTGAGCTATAAAATTTGTGACCAAACCATAAAATTTATAAAAGTTTTTGTTATTTCTCAAACTGAAAACATATTCGACAGTGATATCTTGTTATTCAAAAACTAAACAATGGAAAAAATTTCTTTTCATACACAGTTAAACCAAGAATCACTAAAAGCATTTTATTTTCAGTGGATGAAGATGAACACAGACTAAAGGAATGGATTGCGAGAAAAATGATAAAAAATATAAATAGAAGACGTTAAAAAGAAGAAAAATGATGATTAAAAATTGAAATGATATGATAAGAATTTATTTTGATAGTTCAAGTTCTAATTATTATAATAAATAAGCCGATTTTTATTTTAATTAGGAAATACTTAAATGATGAAAATTTAAAATTTAAACTTACATAAATCTTTCTTTAAAATAAACAAATTAAATTTAAAATATCATAAATATTTTTCATAATTATAAAGTTATTATAATATTCATATAACTTTTTAAGCATTTAAAAAACATTAAGAAAATATTTATAGGTTTTTTTATGAGCATAACATACAAGAACCTAATATATACCCATGAGAAAACAGAGATACCACATAAAACATGACATTATGTTGTAACTTGGTATCTTACAAAACAAATAAAACTGTTCAAAGGAAAAATTGATTTAACTATATAGTTTAATGAAAATCTAATTAAAATTAATCATAATTTACTATTATCATGTGATAAAGTCTCATTATATATAACTTACAATATTCAGACAAAAAAGTACAATAATTACAATTTTTTTTAACATTGTGATAGATTTAAGTATTTTAATATAAAAAATATTATAATTAATCTTATAAATAAAAATAACACTCTCATTATTTTTATCTTCATATTGTACTTTGATTTATAAGAAGACATGATAATAAAATACTAAATAAGTAGGTAAACAATTTGTAACTTAACGAATATGAGACTTGTTCTGTATGTATGTATATTAAAAGTCTCCTCACAATGTCTAAATTGAGCATTTTCAGAGTTGATAAAATAATACACAAACAAAAAATATCGTAGGTAAACATGTTATAAAGAGTGAAAAAACATTTCAAAAAACTTAAAAAACTGAATATATAATCTAAATTGAAGTACTTTAACTAGGTCATGATATAGTTACAATATAATCTCCAGCATAGATTCTACCAAATTGATCTCTTCTCCATTTTAGTACTAAATGAAAGAGAAAAAGGAAAACTTTCTTAATAGATACCCTTAAATGCTTGTCTTTAAAGGGCAGTTTAGGCCTCATGAGTCTAAAGGGCTCAGTAACACACAACAACTCAAAAGTTTAACTTTCTTATTTGCATGTTGAAGCAGACCACCACAAATCACAACATTTGTTAGGGTCTTTAGAGCATCTTTTTGTTTCTTAGCAACTTGTAATTCCTTAGTCATTTGGGGTTGAGAAGACTGTTTTACAACTTTTTATACATCAACAACATAAACATAAATGTAATAATAAAAATAAACTTAAAGCGACCTGAAAATCATTACAACTTTTTTTTATTTTTCCTTTTCTCCATTTTTATTTTCCTTTAAAATATAAGAAATTATTTTTTTCAACATCATTTTTATCTTTTTTTATTATTAAAATTATTTGGTATCATTAAAATTAATTATATTAATATTTAACTAAAAATATTAATTTATTTTTTATTGAGATTACCAACAAATTTTTCGAATTTAGAACTTTATCCGTCAATAAATTTTTGTGAATAACATAGTTTACCTACGAACAATATTTGTTAATAATTTTGTCTATAAAATAAATTTATTGATGGATTAATATCTATCGATAAATTTCTATTAATAATTATAGTTTTTTTTAGTAGTTCTGATTGAATAAGAAGCTTATTTTCTATTAGAATAATTTGATTAAATATTTATTTTGATGTCTTTGATGTTAGTAATTTAAAGGATATTGTAAGGATATTTTGACGTTCAATGATAAAATAAGGTATGAACAATGATTTTATGATGAAATCAAGAATTATCCTATTTTCTTGATAATGACTGAGTGATATAATCCAAAATTTATCTAAGTGAGAGACTATACTGAAAATACATAAACAATAAAACATAATTATTCTAGTAGCATGTGAGAGTACGTTATCTTCAATAATAATTTACAATTAAAGTATAATGGGAGATATGTAGATACAATTAATAGATAAACTTACAGTATATATGCGTGATAAACATCCTTTCATAATCCAATATTAAAATTGTTTGTTTATATAATGCAGAAATATTATGTTTTATGGGTTATTTTTTATTTTGAAAAATATAAAATAATTACATAATTTATTATTAATTTTTTATATATATATTTTTAATTATTCTCTCATTTTTTTGTTAATTTATTTATTTGTATACATATCTGATGAAGTAATTATCAAATATTCTTATTTCAGATAACTAATATTTTATTTAAATATTTTAATAAATAATTTTTATTATATATGTTCTAATAAATATAATATTTTTATTTGAATAAAATAGTTATACATATCTTATTTTATTCTATTCTTTACTTGGTCTAATATAAAAAAATGTGTAATAATTATTTAAAAATAATTAATAAAAAATATTTAATATTTGTTTCCAAGTTACATGAATTAACAATAATAATAAAAAAACCTCTATAACTCAAAGGAGTTGTCATGGTGGATTTTCTTACTTCAGGTAATGACTCATTTTTTATTTTATCTTTTTATATTTGTAATTTTCACTCTTTAAAATTTTTTACATTTTATTTATTTATTATATATTATTATGGATTAAAATATTAAAATAAACTTAATTTAATGAATTAAAAATATCTAATAAATGTATTATATTAAACAAAAAAATTATAATATAAATTTAACTAGATTTATTTTGGTACGTTTCATTTGACATATAATCTATATGAATTTAAAATAGTCTAACTTGAAAACTTATTTAATTTTCTCATTTTATAAAATAATAATTTTAATAATTACTTATTTTAAAATTTAATAATTAAAAATAATTATTATTTTATATTAATTTATTAAAAAAAAATAATAACAAAAAATAAATTAATCTATTATCTTATAATTTATAATATAATATAATATAATATAATATAATTTAAAAATTTAATTTTTATTTTTATTAAAATAATTTTTTAATTTATTTTTTTAAATATAAACATATTATTATATTTTTTTAAAATTTTTAATCAGAATAAAAAATTCATTAGTCGGTTAATATAATATAAATTCATTTTAAAAAATTAAAAATTATAACATATTTTAAAACATAAATAAAATATATTTTTTTTACTTTCTTCGTAGATTTAACTGAATAGAGCATTTTAATAATTTTACTCAAAATATTCACTATGATAAGATGGATGGTATTATATATATATATATATATATATATATATATATATATATATATATATATATATATATATATATATATATATATAAATTAAAGTTAAAGGAGATTAATATTTACACCGTTTCACTGTCACATTCCCTTAATTAATTTACAAAATCATTACTTTTTAAACTAGAAGAAAATCCGATTTTAGTACGTAATAATTAATAATTTTACTCAAAATATTCACTATGATAAGATGGATGGTATTATATATATATATATATATATATATATATATATATATATATATATTAAATTAAAGTTAAAGGAGATTAATATTTACACCGTTTCACTGTCACATTCCCTTAATTAATTTACAAAATCATTACTTTTTAAACTAGAAGAAAATCCGATTTTAGTACGTAATATTAAAATATGATCTAAGTGTATATAAAAAAATATAATTGAAAAAATATCTATTTTAATACCTGATCACATATTATCCTCATACTTTAACATGAAAATTTGGGGCTACGGTGTGCAGTGTCATGTGATGAAATTTTAAATAATCATAATTTTCTTAACTTATTTATATTTCTCAAATTTTTATCATATTTATTTATTTATTTATCCTCTTCTCAAGATTGCATGCATGCTGGTTGTAAAAATATTATTATTTTTTTATATTTAAAATTTGACATTTACGAAGTTGTTCATCCGGCCAAAATGCCAGTTATAATGTTGGCATTTAATATTAATATATATTTTGTATTTACCATAAACCGCTGTCTGTGATTCATCTTGTACCTAGAAAAACATTATTAATGAAGTTGTTTCAATCAATAAAAATTAAAAACATTATTGTTGGTAACTACGAAATGAATTCAATATAACTTTTAATATAATTAACTGGCCGGAAGCATTCTAATTAATAAATATAAGATTAATTTCTCTGTGAAGATTCTCAATATAAAATTTGTTTTTTTTTCATGATCTTTTTAATAAATAATTAAAAATTCATTGGTCAGGCCTAGTCCAATTAAATTATAAAAAAAGGGAGATTAACTTCTTTAAACACGAGGTTTTCAATATAAAATCTTTTAATTAACATAACTAAAAAACTCAACTTCTTACTTATTGTTTCAAACTCAAATAAGAAAATAAAATTTTAATTATCACAACTAATTAAACTCTATAATTTTTGTCTTTAATCGTCCCTCAGTTTCCTGTCATCCGAATTTATTTTTATGTCAAGCAATTAAATATGAGTAGTGATATTTTTACAACCAGATTTCATACAACCCTTTAAATAACTCACTTTTATTAATATAATAATCTATTGAATGATTTAATAAAAATAAAAATAAATTAAAATTATTATTATAATGTGATGATATTTTGACAACTAGATTTCATACCATCCTTCAAATAACTCACTTTTATTAATATAATAATCTATTAAATGATTTAATAAAAATAAAAATAAATTAAAATTATTATTATAATATTAATAGATGGTTATTTATTAGAGTATTATGAATTTGATTCGTGTATCATATTTTCAATCAATTAAAACTACAACTTTTTCACAACTCTTTCGATGAATATAATAATAATTTTAATCATTATTATATTAATAAATTGAAGTTATAGATGGATCTGTCTCAAAACATGAATTGTGTATATACAATACTCTTAAATGTACATGAATGACATAAATAATATTTTTCTAACTTTTATAATTTTATGTCGACATCAATCTAGCCTTAGACAGAGATGAGAAGCCCATATAAATTGTTTGTTCAAAGCCAAATATCCCATTGTTATCTAGCTGCTTAAATCTCCAAAATAATTAATGGAGCCTCACTTTGTGGTTCCCCTTCCATTGATGTTTCTGATCACTCTTTGGTTATTACTGGCTCATCATGCCAACGCTGAAAGTTCCACATATATAGTTCACATGGACAAGTCCTTCATGCCTGAAGTCTTTGCAAGCCATCATGATTGGTATGAATCCACCATACATTCCATAAGCTTGGCAACAGCTGATGATCCACCAGAGCTAGAAGCACAGAAATTAGTGTACACTTATGATGATGCCATGCATGGATTCAGTGCGGTGTTATCATCAGAGGAGTTGGAGACCCTACAGAAAGCTGACGGTTTTGTCACAGCTTATCCTGACAGGTCTGCCACCATAGACACCACACACACCTTTGAGTTTCTCTCTTTGGATTCCCCCAATGGCCTGTGGAATGCTTCAGATTTTGGGGATGGTGTCATTGTGGGTCTTATAGACACTGGAATATGGCCTGAAAGTGATAGTTTCAAAGATGATGGCATGAGCCGGAACATTCCATCCAAATGGAAAGGAACATGCGAGCCAGGACAAGACTTTAATGCCTCTTCGTGTAACTTCAAATTGATTGGAGCCAGGTACTTCAACAAGGGTGTGAAAGCAGCGAATCCGAAGGTCACAGTCAGCATGAACTCAGCGAGAGACACTCAGGGTCATGGAAGCCACACATCATCCACTGTTGCTGGCAACTATGTAAATGGTGCCTCCTTTTTTGGCTACGCCAAAGGGGTAGCCAGAGGCGTTGCACCTCGAGCTAGGCTTGCCATGTACAAGGTCCTTTGGGACGAGGGGCGTGTAGCCTCGGATGTTCTTGCAGGAATGGACCAAGCCATTGCTGATGGGGTTGATGTAATTTCCATCTCTTTGGGTTTTGATAGTGTTCCACTTTATGAAGATCCTGTAGCAATAGCTGCTTTTGCAGCTATGGAAAAAGGGGTGCTGGTGTCATCTTCAGCTGGCAATGAAGGTCCCCAACTAGGTACTCTGCATAATGGAATCCCTTGGGTCCTAACAGTGGCAGCAGGCACCATAGACCGCACATTTGGCAGTTTGGCACTAGGAAATGGCAAAACCATTGTGGGTTGGACCTTGTTTGCGGCAAAGTCCTTAGTGGAGAATTTTCCACTTATTTACAACAAGACTCTATCACCATGCAACTCGATTGAACTGTTATCCGAAGCAGCCACAAGAGGGATCATTATATGTGATGCCCTGGACTCAGTTTCTGTCTTTGAGCAAATAGATTCTATTGCTGCAGCCAGTGTGGTAGGGGCTGTGTTTATCTCCGAGGATCCAAAGCTAATTGAAACAGGACGTTTGATCTCTCCAAGCATTGTGATCAGCCCAAGTGATGCACCATCCGTGATCAAGTACGCAAAAAGTGTTGAAACGCCCTTTGCCAGCATCAAATTTCAACAAACATTTGTAGGAATAAAGCCAGCACCAGCTGCTGCATTTTACACTTCAAGAGGTCCTTCACCAAGCTACCCGGGGATCTTAAAGCCTGATGTAATGGCACCTGGCTCCAATGTTCTGGCTGCTTTTGTTCCAAATAAACCTTCAGCTAGAATTGGCAGCAATGTGTTTCTATCTAGTGACTACAATATGTTGTCTGGAACATCCATGGCATGTCCTCATGCATCTGGTGTTGCTGCTCTTTTAAAAGCAGCACACCCTGATTGGAGTCCAGCTGCCATAAGATCTGCATTGATCACCACTGCCAATCCTTTTGATAACACTCAAAGTCCAATTAGGGATAATGGAAACCCACTGCAATATGCTTCTCCTCTTGCCATGGGAGCTGGTGAGATTGATCCTAATAGAGCACTTGATCCAGGTTTCATATATGATGCCACCCCTCAGGACTATGTTAACCTCCTTTGCGCTTTGGGCTACAAACACAGCCAAATCCTAACTATCACAAGATCAAAGTCCTACAAATGTGCTGATAACCCATCATCTGATCTTAACTACCCTTCGTTTATAGTTTTGTATAGTAAGAAAACAAGATCAACAATCAAAAAGTTTAGAAGGACCGTGACCAATGTAGGAGATGGTGCTGCTACGTATAGAGTCAAGGTGACACAACCTAAGGGTGCTGTAGTTAAGGTGTCACCTGAGACACTGGCATTTAGCTATAAGAATGAGAAGCAAAGCTACTCAGTTACTATAAAGTACAGGCGAAACAAGAAGGAAAACATTTCATCTGGTGACATTGTTTGGGTTAAAGATGGTGGTGCACGCACGGTGAGGAGCCCCATTGTTGTGGCACCTAGTGAAATTGCATGACTTGAAGTTTGATTAATTATTGTTGTTCCTACCAGCGGCCATCACATCCTCTCCCTCTCTGGGACCCCCAAATAACAAAATAAAATTACCACTTTCTAATTTCTTACCTCTCCAAAACGGTGGTTTTGTCTGGCTAGGCTAGTCAGAAAGGATAATAGACCATATCTTATATATTATATAGCTGTTGTTTTGTTGTTTGAGATTTGGAGAAAGACATGGCATAGGGACAACAACTTTGGTATCTGTGAACAAATTTGGTTGGTTTCAGGCATCGAACATGTGTTTTGCCGACGAGTCTTCTTGCCTTGGCTTATTTAAAAACAATAATGATCGAAGTAGCTCTCGCATCTAGGATCACCATTATTATGTGTGTGTATATATATAATATAATGTGTACTCCACAACGTTCGCTGACATGAGATCTTTTTATCTTTATTTTAAAATGAAAAATATATAAATTAACATATACTTTTATCAAAATCTATTTGCTTACATATAAGTAAACGCCGGCAAAGGCTAAAGTGAACATGCATATATTTTGATCAATAAAAGAAGGTAAAAGATATAGATTTGTAAGAAGGTAGAATCTGCCCAACAAAGAAAGTCCTATATTAAACTTGATGACAGTAGGAGATGAGAGCTTGCATGAAATCATTTTCTCCATTTTGACATGATTATCAAACAAAAGGGACGCCATAGTTCAAGGAACTACCTACTCATTACATCTTTTACTCTCTTCCTTTGTCTCTCTCTCTCTCTCTCTCTCTCTCTCTCTCTATATATATATATATATATATATATATATATATATATATATATATATATATATATATATATATATCTTTTATTTCCACCTATCCAACACCAAAAATTGAGGGGGAAATTGGACATTTTCTTTAATTAAAAAAATCATTTCTTGTCATAGTCATATATATAAATTTTATTAGAAAATAGCATGGAAGTTTAAAAATATATTGGAGACTTAAATATATTTTTTCAAAATATATTGGAGCATTAATTAATGCTCCATCCATCTTACTATAGTCGATAAATTAAAATATTTTCACTTCTTATCAAACTATAAACCTCTATGGTGACTTTAAGAATTTCTCCTCAAAACTCTACATGCAATACCGATGATTTCAAGTTCATTGAAATTGTCCAAAAATTAACCCAGATTCTTAAGCTCTTCCGCGTAAAAACATAGTCATGTTTACGAGAAAAATGGTCCTATATGACTACCATTTCCTCACCTCTTTGTTTTCTCTTTCAAGTCGACTCAATAATCATTCTAAACTCGCAATTTTTGGATTTCAAATGAGCAAATAAGTATTTAACTATCAAGCAAAAGAAAACAGCATAACATGAAACTCTACGACACTTAAAATACAACCAAATAAAATATCCAAACGTACATCAAAGTTTTACCACAACCAAAGTTTGATGGCCAAGTATATCAGCACAAAAATCAAAGCATATTAAAATCTTAGAAAGTTCTTCAAGCTACTACAAAGCATTCAATCACAGCAAATCCTACATGTTACCTGCGAATACATACGACATAGATGAGTATAAGGTCTTGCACGACAATATACAACAAAAAAACATTTCTTGAAGAATTAGCATATTAGAATCAAAACTTACATTACATCATGTATGCTTCCTGCCCCATTAAAAACGTCCTCAGAATGGGATCCACTGGAAGGCCCCTTTTTTCATATATTGGATCATAAAGGGAGTTTTTCACAAGCCTATAGGGTAGAGAACACACTACCCTTATTATAAATAAAAAAAATAAAATTCACCATGCATTAAATTAATTAATTAAGATCACTCTATACCTTGGTGGCTGAGGGTTTCCATTGTTTTGAGTAATTGGATTAAGCAAGCTACCCACATGAAGCTCAGTCGATGACATGTTGTTTGACAGAGTCATTTTCATCTATATATATACAATCAAAAACATCGATGGAGAAAAGTTATTAATATATATGCAGGATCGATCAATAGAAGTGATTGTCACCGAAAGCAATATATCATAAATGCATACCTTCACATTCCTTGATGATGGCTCTCCCATTTCACGTGGGCTGGGAATTGGATAAATCTTGCCTCTGACCCCATGCTGCTCAGAACAAAATGGAAAAGAGAATGAAACACACTGAGAGAAAAAAAAAAAAAAAAGCACCTTGTAGATATCATGGGTACAAGGTTTTTTTAAATAACATGTAAGACATTACATTCCAACTCAGTTAGTATCCCATAATTTCTAATTATATTTAATATGAGAAAGATCATATAAAAGAAAGTAATACAAAGTTATGAGAGATTAAATTAAAATTAATGATGGGAATATATTATACAAGCTTTCATCAAAGTATAATTAGCTTAAAAAGAGAATATCCCTACCTTTGGAGTGTTTGAGGATCGAGATTCATTGAAGGATCTTCCACTTCTATCAGAAGAAAAACTGTTTAATCCTCCGAACTGCATCATCTCCGGGATTGCCCTTTAATTTTAAGTATACAGTGAACATTAGTGCTGAATAAGCTTCACCATGTAATAATATTATAAAACTTAACAAGTTATTCAAGGTCTGATTCTTATTGACGCAAATTTTAATTACCCTAGGCCAGTGGAAAGTTGAGAATGCGGTTTCTGCAAATTGAGATAACTGTTCCATTGTGTCGTCGGAAAGCAAGGTGCTGGTGCACCATTTGCAACTAGTTGGTTCTGAATGACAGACAACAGTTAATTAAAACGTGAACGATGTTTAATACCATATATATATCTTACAAATTTGATTTTGATATGCATAGAGAATTTTCTTTTATTATTATTATTATTATTTCGGGAGTTGTTTTAAAAGTTCTTAAAGAGTTGTTTCTTAAAAATATATATTTCGAGAAGAAGAAAAAGTTCCAGCTATGTATATTGTTTCCATTTAAAAATGTTGTAGGATGCAATAGTTGGCTTAGGTTAGAATATGATTCATACTTGTGGACTTAATTCCTGAGTTGGTGACAGTTTGAGACTTGAAGAAGAGTCTCCATGTAGCTGTGCCGTGAAGTTTGATGTTGGATAATGGTAACTACCATTGCTCAAGCTAGTTACAGTGCCTTGAGAAGTTGGTGAAGGAATTGGAAAGTAACTTCCATTCTTTGCTCCCATTTCCATATTCCCAAGCCTGAATTTAAATTTCAATACAATATGAACTAAATTCATTATAATACAAATAATAAAACAGTTAGTTTCTTACCTTTTAGTTACTGATATGAGAAAATATTATATTCTATAGATGATTTTGTCAAATAAAATTGATTCAGCAACCCCTTTAAACTTTGTGTAAATTCTAACTGAAGGAGCTATATATAACTTACTGATAAAACAGTTCAGGGTGAAGAGTGTTTTGAGAGACATGGAACAAAGTGGAGTGTTCTGGGGCTTGGAAATCTCTCTCTAGTTCTCCCTGCTTTGTTTTGATCAAAAGACATGTAAATTATTAAACTAGTACTTGCATTTGCATCATAAGAGCTACGTGTATGTGGAAAATACTCACAACAAATGAAGGGAAAACCTGGGGTGTTGCTACTGATAAAGATCTTTCTTGTTGATGTAGAGCATTATTATTAACAAAAGGGTCCTCAATATCAAATTCAAACATGGGTCGCGACCTCCAATTAAGTATTATAAATTATATTAGCATCAAAACTTACAGATAAGCAACTATCTCACACATATTTTTGTTTGTGGTTATGACTACCTTTTAGTCGAAGATGCAGCAGCGTCATCAAATTGATCAAAACTACTTGTTCCACCGTTGGAGGTTGATATTCCAGTTGCTTGTCCTTGATCCATTCGCAGTTCCTACCATAGTAAAATATTTAAGATTTAAAATTTCACATATATGGATAAGAAAATTCTGGTACTACATCATGTTTCAACTTAGAAATGATAAGTGAAGTTATAATCTTCAGCCAAAGCATTGAAGTAGGAACTCTTACTATCAGAAAAATTATCGTTAATCAAACACATTAAAAAAATACTACCTCATAACGCGCATAAGGTTCTTCCTTTGACATAATGAGCTGAAACCGCTGAAAATTCCTAAAACATACCTGCAGAAAATCATTTCATGTAAAATCTAATAATAATCTATCATTTAGTAACAACTTAACAGTATTTGTATTTGATACAGATGCAGTTTTTTTTTTTTTGGAATGACAGGTTTCAGACAAGTGATTAGTTTAATATTTAATTGATGAATTAGGACCAAATCAATATTCTAAATAACAATAAAATTCGTAAAACAATATTAAATTAAATAAATACAATATTATAACTTTATAGGACTGAAAAATAAAATAAAAATATTATTTTATAGGTTAACATTCAAAATACACATAAAAAATAAAATTATATATATAAGTACTTACGTTTAAATTTTAATAAAATACAAAAATGATAATTAAAATTAATGAGTTTACATCTAAAATAATAATAATAATAATAATAGTAAATATAATATAATATAATATAAAAATAAATCTAGATATAAAAGTTATAAATTGATATAAATGACTAAATTGATTTTCTAAACCGGTTTGATTAGTTTTGAATATTTTACTGATTTTTAAACCAATGAGTCCAATTTAGTTTTAAAAAATATGTTAAAAAAAAATAAAAAATTCTTTTTTAAGATTTTAAATTCATTTAAAAGCAGACTTACCTAACCAATATAATGTTACCTGCGTCAACTTAAAATCAAGAAAAAAAATCATGATATCTTAATGGAAGAAGAAGACACATAAATCATATATAACAAAAACAAGCTTTCATTTTGTGCATAATTTCTAGGTATCAAGATAAAGTAAATCCTTAACTTCAATAAAATAAAAAAAATAAAAATATAACTGGTCTATATATATTATCAAACAATTATAAAAATTGAAAATAATTATCATAATCATCATAAATAAATAACGAATCAAGTAATTCAATCTCAATTACATCAAATCATTGTGGAAAATACTACATTAATTAGCATTAGATTCTGTATTTTAAAACAAAATTTAATCTTTTTAATATGATTTTAAGTTGGCATTTTGAGAATTGAAAAAAATTATACTAAGATAGTCAATCAAGTTTATCTCTAGTGAAAATTAGTTGCAAATTTAGTGGATATTTAATACTAACGACAAAAAAAAAAATCAAACCCATTAAGATTAAAAAAAAATCTTTTGAAAAAGACAAATACATGGGTGAAAAACTTGTAAATCAACTATAACCATATCATAGTAAACAAAATTAGTCTTTTAAATCAGCGAGTCATTAAATATATATATATATATATATATATATATATATATATATATATATATATATATATATATATATATATATATATATATGTATGTATGTATGTATGAAGAGAGAACAATTGAATGGGGAAATTGAAAGTTTATGGTGACCTTATTGGAGAAATATTTTAATTAAGTAAGAAAGTTTCCGAACCTGCAGATAATAATGAATTCAGAAAATAAAAATCAGTTTTGAAGAAGAATACTGAAATTAAACATTGATAGGGATAAACATGGAGGCAATAATGCCATGATCAACTTGTTAGGGTTCATAAAATTGCTAGGTAAAGCCACTTTGGAGAAACTAGGGCAAAGATTAAAACACCATGAATTGAAAGTAAAGCAAAAAGAGAGATGGGGGTAAGAACCTTGTGTGCAAAAAATTATTGTTCTTTTCCTCACTATTCTTTGATGCAATCCTATTTAAGGAACAACAAGGACATGAGTATATTACACTATTAAGGAAAGTGATCAAATAAATAGATAAATAAATTAATATTATCAAAAAAATAATATAATTTAGTCACATGTTTTGTCAAATACAAATATAAAAGGAAATGAAAAAAAAAATTAGTAAAACAATTATCTATTACCATTTTCTGGTTATTAAATTAATTTTAGATTGAATATTCAAGATAACTTTTGCATTTTTCAAAACCAAAAACATAAAATTAGGTGTTTGACAGACACATCAGTATTCCTAAGGCAGCAGTATACACACTAGGAATGTATATTAGAGATTAAAAGAATTAATATTTGACCATAAAATTGATAACTGAGGTTGATTTTACTTAAAAAAAAAAATATTAATTTTCTTTTCATTTTCACTCAATAAGTTATACTAGAAAAATTAAAAGTTTTATAACTTCATGTTTTTGTTTAATAAATTACATTCTAAGTTTTGATTTCTTTTATGGGAATACATTTTACATGATAAAATGCACTTATAATCATTAGTTATAAAGCTAATGATTAAAATTATAATTAATTATAGAAATTATATATATATATATATATATATATATATAATTTTATCACAGTTTTTAATTGATAATTTTTAAAAAATAAATTTAAAAAGGAGAAATTGGATCAGTTTTATCCTAATTATTAATTTTTTTGTACAAATAATTAATGTTGGCACATATTGTTTTAAAATATAAATGCACATTTTGCATCTTTATCTTTATTTATTTTCCATTTAAGTGTACCAACATTCTTAAATTGTAAACATAATCACATAGGGCTGAACAAATATGATGATAAATATATATTTGCTTATACATTTCTTATTTCCCAACAAATGTTCAAAGTCAATAATTATTTCAAAGTGGATTAGTGATGAACATGATTCAACAATTTTGTATATACCAACCTGAAAAGTCAAAAGTTGACCTTGTCTTTTATGGAAACAATCAAAGGAATTGAATGGATATGTTCCCTTGATAGCTTTCTCATTCAAAACAATTTTGATTCTCTTCTCAACATGTTATTATATTTTCATATGTTTGTTCTTTCTTTCACCACAAATATTAGAAATTTACAATACAGATTTTATTCTACAATGTCTAATTATTCATTTTCCAAACAATTATTTTTGAAGGGCACTTTAAACGAATATATTATATTGAGGTTCAATTGGTTTAAAATATTAAGTTGTATGTAAAATTCATCGTTAGATAAAAAATTCACCATTTTTTTTTAATTTTAGACACTAAAATTAAAAATAAAAAGAACATATTAATTATTACAATGAAAAAAAATACAATTAAACCTTCTTCTATTTATTAACTACTAATTTTTTTTTCATCTTTTCATTAATTTTATTCTTATGTTATTTCTTCTATATATATATATATATATATATATATATATATATATATGTTAATTGGATTTATATAAAAGATATTTTATTTAATTAAATAAAACTAAATGTGATGAAAACTTCTTTATGAACATTTTGAAATAATGAAAAAAATTCTATAAGTTAAAATTAATTATAAATAAAAAAGTAAAATTTTAAAAAATAATTATAATTTTTTTATACGAATTTATGAAAAACTTGTAAAAAAAAAAAAAAAAAAGTTGTCGACATCATCAGTTATATTTTCAATGATTAACACCGATAACCCAAATAACATAAGATTTGTTTGGTGGATTTTCTCACAAACACTTATAAGAAATAAAATAAAATAACTTTTTCCTAAACTGAATCCAGTTTGTACATAAATTATAATTATAAATTCTATGTTGAAAAAAATTAAATGATAAAATGATTAATTGGCACCCAAAACAAATTCATATACAACTTACACGATGTCAACTAAACATTTCTCTAGATTTAATTTATATAATTTTTTTCTAAAATTATTTATGAAAAGGTTCATTCAAACAAATTTATAAAACATAAATCGGTAAAAAAAAATCTGAAATGTAATGATCACAAAGAAGTTAAAAAAAAGAAGATCTTTTAGAACAAAAATACAATTACACAGATAAAAAGCTTATACAATAGGACCCTAAATTACTTAAAGGGTCAGGATTAAAACAGTCATTCTCATCCAGGTGTCCAATGTCTGTCTTTCCCAATCAAGATTCATGATTTTCAGTTCATCAATGACATTTCTTAAAGAATGATCCACAATAAAAATCATAACTTTTTCACTGATACTCACAAATAGTTTGGTGGTTACATAAGAAGATTTGAACAGTGTATAATAGTTGTTCAAACAATTAAAAGGCCAACAGCTATATGAAATACAATCGAAACAGCAATGGATATTAGTTCTTCTGAAACTTATGAATCTCTATGCTTATGATGTTCTTTATTTAACTTTCATACAATTTGTCTGAATGTGAAAAATATAAACAAATATAGAGAAATACCTTTTCTTAGTAGTGCACTAAAAGAATCAAAGAGAAATTGGTTAAGAAAAAGGTTTACTGAAATGTATTGGAAACAAAAGTGTCACATTCTAACTCATATTCGACTTAATTCCAAGGATGGACATAAGGAATTGGAGTTTCTCCTTGATTTCTAAGGGGTCAATGGAGTTCTCATCTAGAGAAGTTGGGGGCTCAACTCCGGTGAAGATGTAGAGAGCCTTTAGTTCATCTGCAAATGATGCTTCCTCTGTGCCTTCATATCCTACTATCTTCCTTATAACATTAATCTGCTTCCACATGTTCTCATCATCCAATTCTACCTGCAAAAGCCAGAGTAAACAGCCCCATAATAATCAAATATATGTTGCAATGAAACTTTAAGTTTACCTATATATCTATATTAACATGGTAATGTGCACACAAACAAATTTCAGGGAAAGTTTCATTTGGGTAGCACTTTTCCTAACACCATAATCATGATCCCATGCATTTTACTTGTTAAGCGCTTTGAATGCACTTAGCCTTGTCTCTACTATTGCTGAATTAGCTATAGTTTTCTATTATGGTTAATACTTTATCTACCATACACTAGTTATTTAGAATGAACCTTATTATTAAAACAATTATCGCAAGTAAGACTGTCTTAAAATACAGTTAAATTAGGCGTTGACCTCTTCAGAAGGGAAAATGATGTTTTCTCCAGAGGAACATTCAGATGGCCAAGACTCATGTTCTACAGACGAAATAAGAACCTCCATAGAATCTGTATGCCCATTAATATTTGAAGATTCTGCAAGCATAGAAAATAATTCAGAGATCAGGGTCAAATAAAAAGTTACCCTCTAGATATTGTAAATGGCAAACATATTTATGGTCCAACCTTCGTGCAAATCAATTGTGTATGCGTTCTCATCAGGGTCTATCCGTTTTCCATCAAACAAATCAAATGCACATTCATTAGCAATTTCTCTAGCTTCTGCATCTTCCGAGTACATCCTTTCATTTAATTCATGACTCTGAGATTCTGGATTTTCAAAGTCAGAAATGTTATAATCTAACTTGCCTCGATGTATGTCAATCTTTTCAGTGAAAACCTCAGATGAGTCCTCATCCATTGGAATATCATAAACCAGCACTTCTATTGGTAAATCTTCAATTGATTCAGCTGGAATCAGCATTTCAGAAGGTGCAGTCAATGGCTTGTTTGAATCATATGTAGTATCAAATCCTTTTCCTTCTAATAGAGTATCCTTACTTTCATCAGTTCTTGAATGAAGCATTTCCTCACTTACATTTAGATCTTCTTCAGTCCCCCCAATGGTACTAGATGTGTCTTCCCATGCTTCTTCCATATCTTCAACAATAGGACCACCTTTTTGACCACTTTCATTTGTTCCACCACATATTCCTCCTCCGTATTCTCCTCTCTCCTGGGTCATATCAGTTCTACCCTCATCTCTAATTTTTTCTAACAGTCCCCTTGTTTCTCTTCGTAACTCTGTCTCCTCTATGCCACCCTCCATGGCCTGATCCCGGGATTCCTCTAAAACCACAGCTGTAACCCCAAAAGAAGTCTTAAATTCTTCATTGTCCTCACGTATTGGTCGCACTTCTACCCCATTCTTTTCTCCTGGTGAGTGTTCTTTAATTCCATAGGCACACTCTCTCCCTAATGCCATAATTTCCCCATTCTTGATATATTGAAAATCATCCATTCCAATGTCTCTCTTTGTTTCATGTACAAGGGCTTGTTCCTCTTTAAATATCTGCATATCATCACTACCCAGCTGAAAACACATCTCTTCTCGCAAAGGGAGATCCTGAAGAGTAGGCCTAGGGAGCAACTTACTCATTAAATTCTGAGTGCATACATGGCTAGCCAAGAGAACAACATACGGCATAGAAACAGCAATGCCAATAGCAGATGCAACCACAAGAGGTGGAACAACTACCGGGGCAGCTGAAGCTACGAAACCAGCCACTAATATCTTCTTTCCCACACAGACTCCTCTATTGAGCACCCACCTCATCATGCAACCATTTCCAGCCCCATTTTTGGACGAGTATTTTCTAGTATCCCATTCTTCATCTTCTACTTCTTTCAATTCCATCCTATAATACACACACACACATCAATTAATGTCATTGAAAGTTGAAACAAAACTTGTAACATGTATAGAGATGAAAGATGTTTTCTCTATGCATGTCTGATACATCTTACATCAGCATTTCTAATTGACAAAGCGACTCGAGTGAAAATGGTATTATTACAGAACAATGCAATCCAGGAATAGAGGGAAGATAACGGAACAAGAAGATAGATAGATCAGAACTGTACCTGAAGAGAATGTAAGATAATCGAGGATTGAATCTCTAACCTCTAAAAGCTAATAACATGGTATTATGTTTCATCTTCATTCTGATTCTCAGAGGCATGGATGGACAGATTCAGAGGTTAATTTGGATAACATTGAAGAAGTGTCTGTCTGATTCATAATTCGCATGTGGTTGTTGATGACGCGTGCCATAAAGAGAGGGATCAGTTGACAAATGCAGGGTAAGGAGACTGCCACCTCAATTCTTTGCATGCAGCATTTGAATATGAGATTTATGCATTAATCATGCAATGATCCAAGTAAATATTATAATAAATTAAATTAGTATATGAAACTAGTTTCCACATGTTTTTCTATTTAATTCTGGTATTAGATACTTTATTAACAGAGTAAAATAAGATTTTAGATCTTTATTCAATTATAAATCTTTCATATAATTTTAAATAACCACTAAAAATTAAACAAATTATTATATAATAATTTATAATTAGATAATAATATAAAAATATTGTTCACACTAGTGTCATAACTTTTTTCTTACTTATATATATATATATATATATATATATATATATATATATATATATATATATATATACAAAGTTCATATCAGTTTTATTATTTATTTAATCTCACTCTCATTTAATGTATAAAACTGTCTATTCAATCTTGTTTATATTTCACTGACTTAGTGGTTTACAGTGTAATAAAAATTAAAGTATCTTATCACAAGATAATAGTTATTAAATTTATTTTTTAGAAGATATAATAAGATAATATTTAAATAAAATTATATTTAAGAATAATTATATTTATTCAAATGTTATTTTCATTTCTCTCTAACCTATTTAAATTGTCTTTGTTATTATTATTATTATTATTATTATTATTTAAATTTATTATTAATAGTTTTTTTTAAATGATTTAAATAAATTACATGTAAAAAAAATACAAATATCATGAATTTTTTATCTGCACAAAAATAATTAAAAAGTTTATTATATTTATATAATTTTTTTCATATATATATATATATATATATATATATATATCATTTAAAAAAATTAATGAAGTTCTAACTTGAGAAATTTTGAAGGTGAATAATCTTTGAAGTCTGAAAACATATTTATCTGTATTATAATTTATAATTTAATAAAATTTCAAGATTTTTTATTTATTTTTAAATTTACTTAGTTTATTTATTTGCTTTTCAATTTTTTTATATCTTCAAAGATTTACAGAAAAAAAAATAAAGATAAAGTTATAATTTTATAATTATTATAGAGAGAAAATAGATATCCAAGAGTGCAAAATATGTTAAGACTCATATTTTGAAAAGAAAAAATATTATTGGATATGTTACTACAGTATATTGGGATTTTAAAATTAAAGTTGAGTCTTATTGAGGATTTTAAGATTAAAAATAATTTTTATTAATTAAGTCAATTTTTAAATTAAAAATACAAATGCAAATAACAATATAAAAGTGTGAAATTTTATAAAATCTTACCCTAAATAATTTAAAAAAATATATAATATAAGTTATTTAAAATGATATAATATGATGAGATTTATTTAAAAGTAGAATAAAATCTCTGATTACCTTTTTTCAGAAGATTATTGTAGATAATTCTAATATAAAAACTATTTTGGAGGAAACATAAATCTTTAACTACAGTTAATAAAACCTGAAAACACAATTCTCAAAATATTGTAATAATAAAAATAGCATAATTATAAATACATGAATATTATTAATTTTTTTAAATTTTAGTATTTTAATTTTTAAAAATAAAAAATAAATAGTATTTTTAAAAATTATCAACAAAGTTTTTTTTCTTCTATTTTATATTTTGTTTTTTGTTTTGTCATGTGACCCAATAACCGAATTCAAACCAATTGAAATATTATGGCATTAATTGTTGTAAAAAGAAATAAAAATAAAAAAATCAACTGGTTGAACCTAAAACATTGAACAAGGATGGATACAGATCTCCATGTCTTCTAAACTGGAACCAAACCTGTTACTTGAAATCATTGGTGACTGTGAGTGGGTGTGTTGGTAGCGCCGGTATCAATAGCCATGAGGATTGTTCGCAGAGACCTTGTTCCTAATGGACCTGGTAGTGTTAAGGTTCAATTCCTATTCTCTATACTTCACTTTCTTTCTCTATTCGTCAAATTACTTGTTTACGTCTATTCTGTGCACTATGCAGATGGTGGCTGTGGATTCCGATGATCTGTGGTTTGCTTATAACTTGATATCTCCCGGAGACTCTGTCATGGCCGTTACTGTTAGGTACTCTTTTTCTCTCAATTCTCGCTTTTCTTTTTATCGCATAATCTTGTTTGTTAATTTGCGTTTTCGTGTTTGTTGTAACTGTAATAGGAAGGTTCTTAGAGAAGCCGCTAATGGCGGGCGAGATGCAGAACGCGTTAAGCTTAAATTGGAAATTAAAGTCGAAGAGGTTTTTTTTTTTTTTTTTTTTTGCTATCAATGGGGTTTTTGTTAGTTTTTTCAGGTTTTGTGTTGTTTTGATTTTGTTTTATATTAGGTTGCTGATTATGACAAAGAAGGTTCTATTTTGCGTATTCGTGGAAAGAACATTTTAGAGAATGAACATGTCAAGGTAGTGAACTGCGACTCTCATCCTGATTTTATCTCATAATTGTTATTGCCAAACTTATGTTGTCATCTTTGTAACTCGCTGCAGATAGGAGCTTTCCATACTCTAGAACTTGAACTGCAGCGACCGTTTGTGCTCAGAAAGGTGTTTCTCTTGAATCATTGTGCTTCTTGTTTCTATTTATTTCGTATTGTTAAATATGTGCTTTATACGCATTTAAGGTAGGTATTTTGCTTGGATGTGTCATTATGGTTAGAATAGCGAATGTAATCCAAAAATTTAGGGAGGGATCTTTAATAAAATCACATTGTGATAGTCCCCCCGTCCCCTCTTTTACTCTTTTAAAGAATCGTGATTACTGAATATTATATTCTGTCTCTTGTAGGATGTTTGGGATTCTTTGGCTTTGGAAGTACTACAGCAGGCCTCTGGTACATATATGAATCTCTCATTCTTTTATAGGCATTTATAATTATGGGAGTAGTCTAATCTGTGTGTGGAAACTACAAAATATGCTATTTTGAAGAATAGAGATATTACTTTCACAGTACGAGTTTTAGCTTGCGTATGGATTTTCCTGATGTTAGTTCTGACAAATGTACCTATGATGACCAAACTGTTGAATTGCTACTTTATGTGATGTCTTAAATCAGCTGCTCACCTTTAAGTAGTTGTTTTAGCAAAAATGGTGGAAAGAATGAAATAAATGAGTTATAGAGACCCGGTCATTTTTTTCAAGCAAACAGGGAATTTACAATCCTCATCTGGACAGTTTGTTGTCTGATTGTTGGTGTAAATCTTTCTAAGCAGAATGGTGAATGAAAATTCCATGCATATTTTGCAGATCCTGGTGCAAGTGCTGATCTAGCCGTGGTGTTGATGCAAGAAGGATTAGCTCATATCCTCCTTGTTGGTAAAAGGTTAGCTTTAATTTTGCTAGGTTTCATTTATATATATTACTTATAATAGCATTTTATTCATAAGATAATTTGCTCAGCACTCTACTTGTTAAACATGGTCGGTGTTATTTTTGTTTGATTTCTGTGGTAACACAAACACTGGAAATTAAATACATGTTCTTCTTGTTGATACTGTAGTTAATTTTTTCATGTAGTAGTCATTACAATGAAATGATTCATATTATTATGTTCAATAAAATAGTATGACTGTTACTCGTTCGCGGATAGAAACATCAATTCCTCGCAAGCATGGTCCTGCTATAGCTGGTTATGAGAAAGTATGACCTTTCTTTCTGTTGTAAGATGTTAGTGAATGAATTCTATTACTTGAGTGTTACAATTCTAAAGCATCCCTCCCTTTTGTAGGCTTTGGATAAGTTCTTCGAGAATGTTTTGCAGGTAAATAAGGACTTAGATTTCTTATATTTAACATTTATTCTCATTAGTGATACATATTCCATAGTAAATAAAAATTGAAATGGATTTACTAGATTTATAAAACTTCTTTTCCATTAAGGGTGGTTATGAAATTAATGGTAATGAAATGCTACAAATTCAAATACCCCTCAAACTCTTATCACCTGATTTATGTTATGTTCTATATGTGTTGCTGGTTTGGATTGGTGTTCTTCGTAAACTGACTTATAGCTACTTCCTTGCCCAAAGTAATATGAGATGTCCATGGTAATAATATCATACGCATGTGCCAAATATGGGCATCTTGCTGAACAATGTTACATGCCTGGACGAGAATGTCAGTTATCAAATATCTCCTTATTCTATGAAGAAATGTCTTTTCTATGTTTCTTTGACCTTGCTTAAGAGGACATATTATCATGATCTTTTGCCATAGTCTTTCTTCCTTATCTTCAATAGTATATATTTCTACTTTCATCAACAATAGTGGAAAAGGGACATTGACAAATTTACTGGAATTTTACCAATCTGTTTAGGCTTTCTTGAAACATATAGATTTCAATGTGGTTCGTTGTGCTGTAATTGCAAGTCCAGGGTTTACAAAAGTAAGTATTTATTTGTTGTTCGCTTTATTTGGGCTTCATTTTTGATGAATGTGAAGACACGATTTTGGAATATAAATGTTTACTGAATCTCTTTTTGTTTCAGGATCAGTTTCATCGTCATTTATTTTTGGAGGCAGAACGGAGACAGTTGCGATCTATTATTGAAAATAAGTCACGCATCATTCTTGTGCATACAACTTCAGGATACAAGTATGGTTGCTTTCTTTATTTGCATGTTCTCTGTTCCTACTTTTCTAGGACTTTACAATAGCTTTTTAAGGTAATTAGAATTAACACAAAACACATGAAGATTATTGTGCTCAATAATCAATTTAATGTGGCTCGACTTGCATAATGTTTCTGATGTATATGCTGGTATATAATATGCCTGTCTTTAACACATCCAAGTTATTTCATGCGTGACTCTCAAACACATCCATTTATTTCAAATGTAATATACTAAGAAAAAGGGCAGCAAACATAGATTAACACAGTGTTGTTTTAAGGATTAACTTTGTAATTCAATTGCTTGTGGGTACTGTAGTATTTTCTTTATCTCTTTCTTTAGCATTATTATTTATTATCTGTAGGCATAGTTTAAGGGAGGTTTTGGATGCTCCAAATGTCATGAATTTGATAAAAGATACCAAAGCAGCACAAGAGGTACCATCAAAACCGAATCCGTACATATTTTTTACTTTTCCATTAGAACCTACTGACAAATTTTCATATTATGTTTACTTATTTTCTATTGAGCTTGGATTAAGCTTTGTTCTTTGTTTTCCTTCAGGTTCGAGTTATGAAGGATTTCTACAACATGCTTTCAAATGTAAGGTTCTATTTCTGAGATGCATTTGTTTACCTTGCCTATGTTTATGATTAGAATGTCATATCCCTATTTTGAATTTCTTCCAGACTTAGTTCAATTTTAAAATTATAGAGTTAGAGACACTAAATTTAGGTGGACCATTTGCTCATAGTCATATGCCTAATAGAAGAGTTTTGATCTTTTATTCAGTAACATGATGAATTGGTATAATAATGACTTTTAGTTAGATGCTTACTCTATTGAACTACATATGAGAAGTGCATCTTTCGTGAAATTCCTTTTCGGTGTTTATTCTGATATATTTTTTATTTAGTGTTTGAAAATCAAATAACATGATATTTTTATCTCGAAAGTAAAAGTTATCTCAACCATATGGTGCTAATACTTTCCCCTTATTATTACTTGTTGCATAATGATTGATCCTTGTCAAACACTATCAAGAGTTATGAATGTAACTGGGTGGATACTGGGTAACCTAAAAAGATATATTCCAGAGGATTTATCAAGGGAAACTGTCATTGTGCAGTCTGTACTACCAAAATAGCATTTTTTTTTTCTTTTGCATTATCAAGCATTAAAAGTCTAGTTTAGAGAGAGAATAAAAAATATAAGGGAAGCATCACCTTTAGTATAAAAGGAGTACTCATATTTCTCAAATTGTTCTCTTCAAGTCTGTAAAAAAACAGCTTACCTAAATTTTGCATTTTCAGAAATATTGGAAATCCTGATTGAAAATTTTTGGTTTGTAACAGGATCCATCACGTGCTTGTTATGGAATGAAACATGTTGAGGTTGCCCATGAACGCCTAGCTGTACAAACTCTTCTCATTACAGATGATCTTTTCAGGTTTGTAGGATATAGTCCTAAAATATTTTGAATTAAAGACAATATACTGGATTGTTCAATCTGATTCAGACTTTGGCATCTTGCATCCCTCTTTTTTGTTTTAATTTAGCCATGTCTTATGTATCTCTTCTCCATCCTTGGAAATGTTTAGATTAAACTTCTTTGCAAAATTACCATTTATTTTAGGATCTATATATATATATATATAGAAACATATATTGGATTTTGCTTTCGAGTCCCTATACTTAACTTCTTTTCATTTTATTTACCATCATATTTGTTTGCTTGGGAGGATTTGGAATGCGATCCTGACAATGCTCCTTTTGATGTTGTGATATAGTTGTATCTTCACTACTTTCTTTTGGTATAGGAATTCAGATATAACAACAAGACAAAAGTTTGTTAACTTGGTCAACTCTGTTAAGGATTCAGGAGGATCTGTCCATGTATTTTCATCCTTGCATGTATCTGGAGAACGTGAGTTTTATTATTTTCATCATTCTTTTACTGTTTTGGGGGTAGAGTGTGGGATATTTATTTATCCTATAAATCCATCAACTGAGAATGGTGAACAACTGTTGAAAAAGAAGGTAGAAGTAATAAGATGACAATATATAAACTATAACGGCATCCTTTTAATTCCTCCTTTGTCATAAGAGCTGCTTCGCAAATGAAATTTATGCAAACATTTATGTTCAGTTTTCTGTCTGTTTGAAATTGAATATGACAACTTTACATTGATGAACAGAACTAGCCCAGATAAGTGGCATTGCTGCAATTCTTCGGTTTCCCCTCCCAGATCTTGAAGACATAGAGATGTGATGGACAATGTTGGTCAAGCATGTTAGTGTTGGTCATGTCTCTTCTCAGTTTTATACTCGGCTGATGTTGCAACAGTCCCTCAGTACTCGCACAGCGGATAGCAATATGATTGAGTCAGGGACTTGTACTATAAACCACACAATGCTAATTAGTAGTTGCAATTCATATTCACCACCCTGTGTTCCATATTTTTGGGTGAATTCTTGTGCTCCATGGTATTTACATGTTGAAATTGATATTTTCCAACTTCCCGTCATGTATTCGAGTCTGTTTCAGTAATTATATAAAGTTTTAAAATATGAAGTTTTTTTTATTCTCTTAAATTTTTAGTCATGAAATTATTGATAAAGTTTTACTGTCTAATCGTTTCAACTGCTAAAGTAACTAATTTAATTAATTCATCGTGCGACATAATTAATTCCAAATATAGGATTGAATAACTTTAGTTTTAAAACTAAAAATCAGTTATAGCAACAATTGCATATATTGTTAATATTATACAAATACTGCATGTATATAAAAAGAATGATTTTTGTTGTAATGACATTTTTTAAAGGAATTTAAACTTTCAATATAGTATACAACATTTTTAAATTAATATAATTTTAAAATTTATTATTGACGTGTTTAATTCAACAATATATATTTGTATTCTTATCATTTAAATGTTTATATCTACCAACATTGATTCAAGTAATAATAATTTGCGTTTCTTAATTAAAATATTCAGAGATAAATTTATAATATAACTATATTAAGAAGTGGTTATTTGCCTAACATCCAATATTTTTAAAATTGGATCAGTTATTAAATTGTTTAATAGGTGAATATATTAATGTAGGATTAAAGATTCAATTGAAATTTAACTGATATTCAACTAATTTTAATAAAATAGTATTTTTATAATATATATATATATATATATATATATATATATATATATAAAATAAGTTTATTAATAACATTAAAAAAATTCTTATTATTATTATTATAAATATAAAGTGTATTAGAGAATATAAAATAAATAATTGTTAAAATAAAATTAAAATTTCATAAAATAATTATTATGTAAAATCAATGTAAAGAGATAAATATATATATATATATATATATATATATATATATATATATTATATTTTTTCTCAAGATTATATTAAAAATTTTCATCTTTTATTATTATTTTTTACTAAAATGGATTCCACCTATAAAATAAATCAATTTTTTCAGTTTTGTAATAGTTTTTATACCAATTTTTAGACCGATATTTGATTTATTAAATTAATTATTATTAGTCCAGTGAACATGCTTGAAAGCTGCTCAGCTGTTATAATTTTTTGTCTTTTATAAAAACTTGGGAAAAAAAAGTTAAATATATTTCCAAAATCAAACTGCTCCCAATCAGTGACCCCACAATCTCTGTAGCAAATGACACAAACTGTCACTGTAACGGAATCGAGGAAGAAGTTTGAAAATTCTAAGCATAACACATTAGATTTATGAATTTAATTATAGATATTATATACACAACACCTTTGGATATCAAGCACTTAGTCCCTAGTCATGGGAAAAGTCACAATGAAAACCATCAAATTGACGGAGCAAACTAAACATAGTAGCACGAAACTAGAAGTACATGTCTAACAACAACATATACATCACGAACCAAAACACCATAGCCTGTTCATTCATCTTCCAACATAACCAAAATAAGTCATACTTGATTCTGCACAGTTCTTTCAAGATGCTCTTTAACTTGGCCGCTAGGGACGTTACTCCAGCAGTTAGAGAAGAGCTAACCAACCAACATAATACTAAGATAGCCTTTTGCATGTATCTCCTGAGTGAGCAAAGAATGCTCATTACTTATCTTGATGATTGTGATTGAAATTTGAAATCTGGACATCACCCTATTAAGAGGTCCAATTGGAGCAACAGAATATCATTCTGCTTTAAATATATCACTACCTTCTCAGCTTAATTCTTCTTTATTTCTCCACTTTTTCTAGGAACTGAACCATCCTTCCCAGATTGCACTCCTAAAGCATGAGCAAACATTCTCTTTGCAGCTCCCAAGTGCTCCTTTTTTAAGTAGTCTTTATTCAAACTTTGTGCTTGTTTTCTATCTTGAGAGAATAGAAGCAAATCTTTGTCAACTGCTGTTTGATCATTCCTTCTAAGTGAGGCTGTGTTAGAATCGCTAATGTTTCTTATTCTATTGTTTGAATTCCTTCTTAGGTGTAAAGCCTCTCCAGAATCTATCTTGAGATTGGACTTTTCCCTATGCTTATCTTGAGCATTAAATTCATCTGTGATGACTCTATCCTTCATACTGTCACCAGCCAAGCCATTCTGATTCTTTGTATGAATTCTTTGACCTAGCGCATGAGCAATCATTCTGCGAGCAACGACAGGCACACTCCGAGGCTTTTGTTCACCAGGCTCTTTTAGCTCTTCCAATTTTCCAGAGAAAATTCGCTCCCGAGCAATTAAATAAGCTGCTTTTCTCTCCTCCAGTGACTGTGAAAAGGATGTCTTGTTTGTCCCTAAGACTGAAAGATACAGCACACAAATTAAGGCTCACTAAACAGAACAAGAATCCACATCACAGAAAAAGTCAACTTACTGATAATAGTAGATTAGGTTAATATTGTACACATGATATGCCATGGTAACTAATGATAGCATGCATTACCTGGAGAGGCTTCGCTTCTCCTTAATATCTGGTGGGATGTAACTAAAGATTGAGGTTCATCATACTTCCAAAGGATATCACTAACAAGGATGGGAGGTCTGCAATCCATCCCACATAAAGGTTATTTCACAAAAGAAACCTTGCAATAATTTCTGAATTACCAATAAAATAAAGTTATCCCGACAGATAAACAGAAGGAAGTCCATTTACATGGATGTATCTGGACATCTCTCCAGAATCAAATGGCGGTCATCTCCTTCACCAACAGATTCATGTGCAAACCTAGCACCAATTATACAACTATCAAATAAAAGAAAAGTAGACAAAGATTCAAAGTAAAATAAAAAAGGAATTTAAAATTGACTAAAATGAAAATGTACTGGAAAAATACCCAAATATCTCAGCAAGGCGATGCAAGAGAAGACGGTTGTAAGAGTTCATTGGCTCCAATTCCAAGATCCCATCTGAACTATAGTAAAAAAAAGCAGATATTAAGAGGCATATTAAATGATACCGGCGTACCAGCAAAAAAACATTCAACCATTGTAGAACAATAGTTTATAACAACATGGATACACTTAACTGTCACAAAAGCTAACTACAATCAGATGTCATAAATGACCAACAAAGCTTTAGAGTCATTCTACAAAAGGCTCTTTACACATACATCAACATACATTAAGACCTTAAGACAATATTATATAGCAAGTGAGCATGAAATGCACTATACAGTTTTGAAATTAATAAGTATTATTAAGATAAAATGATTGTCATATTATTTCAGAATATGATAAAATGAACCTTTTATTTTGCATAAAGAACCGATGCAAGTTAATCTAATAACATTGGATTTGAAACCATTTTTAATTGCAACCGGTGCTATCAACATTGGGATCACGGAAAACTGACAAGCTAAAAAACCACTATATCAAATAGCAGATAGCATTGCAGGCAAATAGCGAAAGTCATATATACATTCATGCATAATTCACACACACACACACACACACACATATATATATATATAACAACAGCATATGCATATTATACTATATGCAAATAAATCTTGAGAGAGACTTGAACAGTCTTGTATAATATTCTGAGCAGGAAGAGGATACATAATGTAACAGATAGAAGAAATTGGTGATGCTCTTGTAGATTGGAACAGTCATGTGTGGACTGGAAATAAAAGCCCATGTTGGGCTTAGTTTAAAACTCAAAAAGGCCAAGTGAATAAACACTAAATAGAATAAAGAAGAAGCCTCATGAGAAAATATGGAAGTGTTTTAAATGGTCACAGGAAAAGTCGCATGTGAGATTATTAAGTATTGTAAGTCAATTTCCTCTCCTATGATTAATGCAAGCCAAACTCAAGCAGTTCAAACTCTAAACAATCATCCACTCTGCCTCCACGGATTCCACCTTTCCAAAGATGCTGAAAACCTGGCCGTCTCAATGACTACCCACGACAATATACAACATACAGCCACAACAAGCAACACGACCATGATGGTGTTTGCTGCAGGCTCCACAATGCAACAGTGTTGCAATTGTGTTGTCCCTGAAATCTGTGACACAATACTGCTATGTGAACACAATCACTAATATTTAACAACACTGATTACAATCATGTATCTTCTAATTTCTATCATATTAAATTGGTTTTTTTTTTTTTGGAGGAATCATAAGTACATCCCCAAGAATTTCTAAATTGAACTAGTTAAAGAGAGAACTTCGAAGAAAAACATAAAATTGTCTAAAATCATCCCTCCCATGTCCTTTGAAACAAAGTACAGGAATCCATTGAGTCTTCAAATTTGACTTTAACTATACTCAAGACAAGTAAAACATCAATAATTGCATTACCTAAACCTGACACTAATAAGTTAGACAACACTCAAACTATCTCATAAATGTTACCTAGTGTGATCATCCTGAAGAAAGTTAACCAAAGCTTCTTCCATTGTGAGAACTAGATGCTTGCATGGAAGATTGTCCTTGACAAGAAAAGCCAACTCCTCAACCTGAAACACAAAAATATCAGTTAGAACTAAGACTCAGATAAATTTTAAAACAGCAAAGTAAATACTCCTAAAGTGATGTTCCTTAGTGTCATGCCAGTTCAAATAACATAAAGGCCAAGCAAAATTATCAGCCGTGCATGATATCAAATTGACATCAATCACATAAGCAATTGTCCTTAAAAAATTCCTCAATTAACATTCAAAGAGAAAAGGAACAAGCTTTATGCTAAAGCATCTCCTAGGGTTCAGAAATTTGCAACTTCGATGTTTAATAACACTACAAAGCCTAAGACCATGAAAGAGGGAGCGCATGACAGCACAAAATTGAAATTCAAGAAAGCATCATCCATTATATCACAGAGAAAAAGAAAGAGAAACATGGAAGCATACCATGGCGAATTGGGTCATACTCATTTCGAAGGATTGAGCAAAGTCAAAGACTTTGGGGTTTAGGGTTTCCAATTACAAAAATTTGAAGTATCCTACTCTTCACTCCAGGTTTAGATTTGTTCAATCAGATGGAGTTGCTTCTCCACCTTTTTTTTTTAGTTTATTAGAATTTTTTTTTATCTCCATCCAATTATCTTTTAGATTTACATTCTCCTTAGTTTATATATATAAAAAAGAAGGTTTACTTGACAATCTTTCTTTAACCATACATATACTAGTAGCTTGGTCTTTTATTACTTTTAAAATGTATTTTAAAATATAAAAAAATTAAACTATTTCATGAATTTATGAATTATTTGATAATTTACAAAAATTTTAACTGGTTTCTTAAATTGCAATAAAATTTTTCTATTTAATTACTATTAAAAAAATTAATTACATAAATCTAATTAATCATTGAATTTAGTTTTGTGATTATTTAAGTATTTTTATCTTTTTAACAAGGTATTTTTTTAATTTTTATATTTAATTTGTAACATAAATCCATTTAATTGAATTTTTTTTTTGCACAAATCTCTCTAAGTTTTATCTATAAAAACTTTATCACTGACCTAACTAACTTAATTATATAATTTTTAATAATTCAATGATAATAAAGAAAATAGTTTTATACTTTTAATTAAACTTTGTGTTAATTTTAAAACATCCTTTTTAAGGTTTTCTTTCTTCTTCTTTATCTATTTCATTTGATATAATTTTTATTTATTTTTGTCATCATTTAAATTAATTTGTCATACTGATTTTATGAAGATTTTTTCAAATTATTTATTATCATTTATCTCCGTGTCTTACATTATATAATAATGTAAATTATTTTATATTTTTTTATTTATTTTATCTCATCCAATTCAACAGGATAATCATACTTTAAAATATATTAAAACAGAAAATTATTTATGGATTTTAATTATTTTAATTTATTACATTGACTATTGTTATATATATATATATATATATATATATATATATATATATATATATATATATATATATATAATATTTTATGATTTTGTTAAATAGAATGCAGTTTATTTTATACATATTCATTTTAATGATATAATATGAATAATTGTCTTTTTTTTATAAATAATTACAATCATAAATTTTACGTATTGACTTTGATATATAAATGCCTAAACACTATTTATAATATGAATAAAGATTTATTCTTTTGGTAATATTGTTTTTAATAAAGATTAGTTCATTATCTAATTCTTGTATATTTAACAAATTTAGGTAGTCAACAGCTTTGAGCAATGTAAATTTAATTATTGTCGAAAAACTATAAACATATAGTTGATTATGTTTAATCACACAACCTGCAAACATTTATTTTTTTTAAATGAGAACATTATATATTAATTTATGGTTCGTTAATTCAACCATTATACCACAGTTAAACCAATAAAAGAATTTAATGTTTTATAATATATTTAATAATAAAGTAATATAAATATATGAAAAAATTATGCACGGTATAATTTTAAATTTATGTAAAATAATATTAATACCTTCTAAAAAATTCATAATGGAAAACTTAACAGTAATAATTTAATATAAATATGAGATATGAGCATTCATTAATTAAAAATATCTTATACGAATTTAAGAAAAAAAATCCAAATAAAGCCATTTTTGTCTTCAATAATTATCCATGTGTTCATGGTTTTAACCCGTACTTGATTGATTCAACCAAAATTTATTGATTTTTTAGTTCAATAATTTTCTGAATTATCCTTATAGATGATTTAGCCAATTCTGTATTTAACCAACCAATCCAGTCCAATAATCCAATTTTTAGGATATGTTCATATTACATGTGATGTGAACATGATCACAACCTTATCGTGCCTTGGAAACTTGGATTGTGTTCATCATCATTCGTGTAGGTTTTAACTTCCCCGGATCAATTGATATACATAAAAAATGAAATCAAAACCAATTTCGTTACATATGATATGACCAAGCAATCGGTTCTTTATTATTCATAGGAACCAAAAGAATCAGGGTTGAGAGAGGCAAAGTAAGGTTGAGCCATGCGCAAGCTAACCAACCATTCCTGATAGAACAGGTTTAAGTAAATAATTCAACCGAAACTTTCCTATAACAGTATGAGAGTAATTACATTGTCCCCAAAAACAGAAGTAAATATGTGCCCCCAAAATATTGTGTACATACTATAGCCTAGTTTACTTGGAATAATTCATCTATTGCGGTCCTTGAGATTTTCCCTTGAAATAAAAATGACAAATAAAGAATTTACAAACCTGATTATGTTATGCTAATAGAATGCACAAATTTAATTCATATACCATATGGATTCCTGAATTTTAAAATGATTCCCGGCAAGTGGCAATTCTGTCTACATCCCGGATGAAGAAGTCCGGTTTATCCGCTGAGCACCTAACCTTGGAGCAGCTGGTTTAGCACCCCGCCCTCTGCCAGTTGATAAGGGCTTGGCCTTCGTAGTGGGTGCAGGAGCAGCGATAGCAGCCCAAGGATCATCATCATCAGTTACAGTTGTTTTCAAATTTAAAGGTTTTGATGTTTTTGGAGCAGGAGCTGCGATGGAACCCCACAAATCATCATCTTCGTCCTTGCTCAACTTTGATGTACTTTTCGATTGCAAACTTGATACTGATTTACACATACAAAAATCCAATTAGTATGCATACATCAAATTCACCAAGTAAATAACTGAATTTGAGTAATTATGTTGAGAATGTTCCTTTTGCCTCTAGGGAGTTTAAAACACTGCCAAACTTTCAAGTTTAAAACACAGATCAAAAGCTAAATAAAATAGCAGCAGCATCATCAAAACAAAACTCAATTTTTTTCAGTATCAATTATCAAATTAATAATCCTAGCATGAAATAAAGGATCAAAGCTCATGTCTTAGCGAAAGGTGACTAAACGCTAAATTCAATCAAAAGTTACAAACCTGAACTAGTAATCCATACATTCGCATCAATCACCTTACATATAAGAGTTTTTTAATTCTAGTAAATGGATAAATAAATTCCAATCAGATATCCCAAAATTATAAATCAGGTATCCTTATAAAACTACTAATAGTTGAATAATTAATACCTTGCTTTGTCTGCAAAACAGGTTGAGAAACTGGCCGCCTTTGAGCTGCTTGAATGTTTGCAAGAGCTGGAGTTGGTTTCATTTCTTCAAGTGGTTCCAGATCATCCCACCCATCCTTGTCATTTTCATGCTCCTCGTCGAGTCCGTTCTCTAGTTCTCCCCAGCCATCTGTTGATGTTGGGGATGTAGGGACAGGTTGCTCAGAAAAATCTGGCGCAGACCTTACACGAACAGGTGCTGTTGAAGGGGTATCTATAGAGTACCCAAAAAAAGAAGTTAAGAAAGCGCGAGTTAAATTATAAAGATTTAGTCGGAATGAAGCAGAACAAAATGCAGCACCAAAAGATCAGATAATGGAGCAGATCGAATAGGGATTTTCCTTGAAGGTGGAAAATGGATAGGGGAGATCATGCATGAGATATTCAGTTATGCCTTCCCCCTCACAGCTTTTCAGTTTTCTTCTCATTATTTTCTTCATTTAATAATAACATAAAATTACGCCCACATCTAATGAATTTGATTTTTTGGGGCCCTATTAAGTAAGACAGGCCATTTCAAAAAGAAAGTACCAGGTAAAGATATTTTATGACCTTAAACCCCTTCATCCACAAGAAAAAGGCCTTTGTCTTAAATTGCGAGAGGTTCACTAAACCTGAAGATAAAAAGCGGACATGAATGGAAGAAGGCCATGCACCACAAATTTATCCTACTTTGTCTCATAATAAGAGCTGCTGCTCAATTTTATACTAAATTTATAGAAATATAAGAGAGAACTCAGTTCTGTAAGCACTTTTCCCCCTGGCCAAATTTCATTATTCAAAAGGACTCCATCCTCTCAACACATTAGCAAATGCTATCACGCACTTGTAATTCCTAAATTGCTTACGTGTCAAAATGCACATCAAAGGTGATAACATTATTCCAGCGAAGTATTGGTGAACTGAGTGACTGAAGTTGGTTACAAAAGCAATACTAGGATTAAAGTTACTATCTTCATTCTTATTTATAAGCCTCAATTACTTTGTTCATCAGGATTAAGGAAAGTAGTTAATTTATTTTATAATGATAAATTTGTCCTAAGTTTATATTTTTTTTTCTCGAAACCACCCTTGTCAGCAATACTCTTCTCTCTCTTCTAAATGTTTTTCAATTAACTCACTCCTTAATTAGGAATATTTTAGTCAAAATAATTAATACAAGGGACATTATGAACTGAGGCTTATAAAGAGAAACATACTTCTAATTTGAAGCTTATAAATAGGAAACGAGGGAGTATATAGAAGATTAGGTGATTTAACTCATGCAACACATTTTAGGTATCAAGTTATGAAAACACAGGTTATGAAGGTTAGCAGGCCAAACTGGGGAGGGGAAGATTTAATCACATACTCAGAGGAATACACAATAGTAAAATCATATTTAAAATAGCCAAGAGACCGGTCAATTGCCATACCTGAGTTGGAATTAGCAGACATCGGAGTAAGTGCAGTAGAACTCACAGAAGCAACCGGAGCATGATCAGAAGGTTTACCCTTCAGAGTCAAGGAACTCATAGCCCATCTACACAATGATGAGAATAACTCAGAATTCAGAACCCATAATGCAAAGAAATTGTTGAGCATTTCAGGTGCAATTAAAGAAGACTGAATCTCAGCTAGAAAATCAGGCCCCCTAATGCGATGCAGAGCTCTTAAGACTGTTAAGACAAGACAACTACTGCCATGCACTTTTTTTGCAACTGATTAAGTACCTTTCCTACAGTGGCATAACAGAAGATAGCATAATTTAACAACTTTATATACTGCAAACTTGCGAAATCTATACATAACCCTCCCAAAGTCCCAACCTAGAGACAATTTTTTTTAGCAACACACTTTCCATTAGTTGAAATTCCTGTAGGTCCCACTATTTTGGGAATAGAACCACCAAATAAGGAAGCCTACATTGCAAGACCACGTGAATTTCACCCAAGGAGAGAGAGAGTTTTAGCTATTATTGTTACTACTAATATTCTATCTAAATTAGACAAGAAAGGATCCATGTACTTTTAATTGACACTAATTTAGAACAGAAAGAAGGGGAAACTTCATGTTAAATAGTGTGAACTAAATTACTTAAAATTATAAAACTCAAGCTGACAGTACTTATTCTCAATTCTTTAACATGTGAACAGCCTGGCCACAAAGTTTGACCTGACTTACCCAAGTAAACCAGCATTTCCTGGAATTGAAGAGATTCCCATGCTCATTCCTTCAGTAGCCTCTTCTGTATTTGTCTAGATAAGAGCATGAACATCAGTATTACCATTCAGCATTTAAGGTGGCAAACAAATTACCTACTAGGTGATTTTTAATATTAGGTTGTTCTCATAATTATTTGATACAGATAATGATTGTCAAACACCCCATAATTTCCTATGGGTTCAACCTTTTTGTCACACTTGCAGTGCAAAAACAAAAGAATACCCTGTCTCTACAGACATTTAGTATGGACTTTCAGTTGTAGGCCCATGCAAACCATCCTAGATTTTGTATGTTCATATAATGAGAAGCAGGCCAGAAGGATAACCAGTAGAACATGTGGAATACTTACGCTTGCTTTAAAGAATGAAATTTCGTTCTGATAAATGTGCATAAAGAGTATTATTATAAGCAAAAATGTGTGACCGGAGTTAGTATGTAAAGGTAAAGCAGGAACTAAAAAGTATCTTCTTGTACAATCGACAACTATTTCCAGATGTAGGTACAATCTAAATTAAAAGAGAAAAAAAAAATTATAAGGGAGATATGTATAAATAATTCAGGTATAATGTGAAACAATATATATTAAAATAGAAAATAAAGAGTGACTTAGTGCACAAGGCCCCATCTAGTTGGATATGTGAGGGTCGTAGGTGTACACAGCCAAGAGAGAGGCTGTTTCCAAGATTTAAACATGCGAACAAGGCTTGTTTTAAAGTTCTAAATTTATTAATTCAAAACAATATTAATTATGAATTTATAAGTTGAGAATGACAAATGCAGGAAAAGTAGAGAGTGAAAAATTACTAGTACATAGAATAAGTGAAAGAAAAATAGCAAAGAAGGATATCACTTTTTCCTATAACAAACATGTTTTACTTTTTACTCATATAAGTGGAAAATAGTGGAAAGAGTAAAGGAAATATTATTTTACAAAATTATTCTTTCCAATAAAAGATTATTTATTCTCATATTTACAATTACAATTTCAATTTATATGTGCATATTGAATTTTAATTATACAATTTTGGTAAAGTGAGATAAATATAGAAATGATTATTGTTGAGATCTGATGTTTATGTATCTTTTAGTATTCTTTTTCAATGTTCCTTAGACTATGGTTAAGGGTTTGGGTTGAGGCTCATATCCTCTTTATTGTACCCCTTTTTTTCTATAAATACAATATATCAGTGTTTTTGGTCATTGTATCAAACCCTAAATAAGTTTTCTCAAGTTGGTATCAGAACGGGTAAGATCCTGCACTGATTTCCGGTCGCCTTTGTCGGCTCTGACTGCCGTTAGCCACCTTCCAATGGCCGGAATCCAGGCCTACCACCTCCGTTCGACTTGCCGACGTCCTCCAAGTCCAGTGGTACCCTTAGTTTTCTGGTTTGAGAATTGTGTGTAAAAAGTCTCGTGGGTAACCCTATTTGTTGGCTTTATTCATCTTTTCTGGTTTAGATGACCTCATCCTCTGCCTTCACCTTCTCTGCTACTCCCACCATAACTAGTGTCAGGCTCAACTGGAAAAATTACTTATCCTGGTCTGTTTCAGTTGAGTTGTACGCTTTCTAATGTTGAATGCTAACGTTCCTATTCATCATTAGGGAGATGCAGTTCTCACTGCTTGTTTTTTTATTAATCGGATGTCATCTTCCTCTCTTAAAAATCAAATTCCACAATCTCTTATCTTCCCAGATGATCCTCTTTTCCATGTATATCCTCGTGTATTTGATTGTACCTGTTTTGTTCACAATGTATCTCCAGGTCTTGATAAACTAAGTGCTAAGGCCATCAAATGTGTTTTCTTGGGGTACTTTCGCCTTCAGAAAGGATATAAATGTTATTCTCCATCTTCCAAAAGGTATTATATGTCTACTAATGTCACCTTCTTTGAGGAAACACCCTTCTTGGCTTCCCCAATGGAAGATGGTTCATCAATTCAACAAGTTCTACCTATACCTGTTTCTTTCCCAATTCAATCTACACGTCATAATGATTCACCTCCTACACCTTTACCAATTCCTACAACTAATTATGATTTAGATCCGTCTCCATCAGTTTCTCATACCATAGATCCTTCAACCTTACCTCCCACTTCTGATTCTAGCTGGCCTATTGCACTTAGAAAAGATACTCGTTCCACTAGCAATCCCTTTCCTATTTATAATTTTTTAAGTTACCATCGTCTGTCTCCTTCATATTCTTCTTTTGTTGTTTATTTGGCTAATACGTCTATTCCTAATAATGTTCATGGACATTTCATCATCCTATAGTGACAAGCCATGATTGATGAAATGCAGGTAGACACTTGAGTACAATGGCACTTGGGAGCTTGTTCCTCTTCCTCCTGGCAAAAAGGTTGTGGGCTGTAGGTGGGTCTATGCAGTTAAAGTTGATAATAATGGTAAAGTAGATTATTTTAAAGCTCGTTTAGTAGCTAAAGACTACACTCAAATTTATGGGCTCGACTACTATGATACCTTCTCTCCAGTAGCTAAGGTTTCCACTATTTATTTTTTCCTTGCTATGGCTGCGATTCATCATTGGTCCCTTCACCAACTGGACATTAAAAATGTCTTTCTTCATAGTGACCTTGAAGAAGAGATTTATATGGAACAACTCTTGACTTTGTTGCTCAGGGGGAGTCTGGTTTAGTGTATAAATTACACCGATCTCTTTATGGCTTGAAGCAGTCACTCCGAGCTTGGTCTGGAAAATTCAGTCATGTTGTGCAGTTGTTTGGCATGAAAAGGAGTGAAGTAGACCACTCAATGTTTTATTGTCATTTCTCTTCAAGCAAGTGTGTGTATCTTATAGTTTATGTTGATGATATTGTTATTACAGGCAATGATTATACTAAGATCAACCAACTGAAGAATATCATTTGTTTGCTCACTTCCAAACCAAAGATCTTGGTCAATTGAAATATTTTCTTGGTATTGAAATGGTCTAGTCAAAGGAAGGTGTGATCATCTCTCAAAGGAAGTATGCTCCTTGATATTCTGAAGGAGACTAGTCTAACAAATTGTAAGCCCATTGATACCCCAATGGACCCTAACCAAAAATTGATGAAGGATGAAGGAGAAAAGTTGTCAGATCTAAAAAGATATAGGAGGTTGGTTAGTAAATTCATTTATCTTACTATTACCAGACCAGATCTTTCTTATATAGTTGTAATTAGCCAATTCATACAAAATCCTTATGTTGATCACTATTCTGAGATAGATATATTAAAAGAGCCCAGGACAAGGGTTGTTATACTCAGTTCATAAAAATATAATAATTATACGAATAATTTTGTAATTATATAAATACTTTATAATTTTTGTATTTATTATTTTTTTAAATGAATATTTTTTTTTTTTATATCACTTTAACAAGTATATTTTTCATTCTATTTTTTTTTTCTCACAGGTACTTTTCTTGTTACTCAAGGTGAAGATGCTTTTGGTTTTGGATATCTAATTGTGGATACATTGGAACAAAATAAGTTGGAATGGAACAGAATTACCCTTCCATTGTTTGGATAACTTTTATGATGGAATGATAAAAAAACGATTGGTTCGATCCCCCATACCCGAGAAGGTATATGATAAAATGGAATGGGATACCCATTCCATCTTATTTTAAACAATCCAATTAATGGAAGCTGGTATCATTTCATTTCATCCCATCCTTTCTATCTATCCAAACATAGCCTTAAGGCATGCCCAAGATAATGTATTCTGATTTAAAATATTGAAGTGGATTTACATGAAATCAGAAGTAGGGTTTCAAAAAAATTAACTCTGAATTTAAATTTATTTTCTTCTCAAAGATACAAGCCAATATTTAAGAAGCGCATTATGCATCTGAGTAGCAGTCAAAAAGAATTTCATAGTATACCTTTTCATAATATTGCTTCGCTATCTGCAAAAATTGATCAACAGCTTGAAATGCCTTAGATCGCACATCACTGCTTAAACCATATGACAAGAATAACATATAATCACTGCCTTGAAAAAGATGAAAATTCGAAGAACAAGGAAAATTATTATTTACTATTGAGGATTGGCAAAACAGACAAAGTAGCACATAGCACAAATATAAAGAACATCCATTATTCAAGAGCCCCATGTAAGAAATTAAAACATTAAAAAAAGAATTTAGAAGCAATTTTGCAATACAAGAATTTTATTCTTTAAAAACGATTTAACCTAATGTAAGAAATTAAAACATTAAAAAAAGGAATTAAGAAGCAATATTGTGCAATACAAGAATTTTATTCTTTAAAAAAATATTTAACTCACTAAAAGATATTAGTTTTTGGGAAATTAATTTATATCAAATGTGTCCACAAATTGCAAGTGAATAGAAAAATATAGCAAAGCATCCGCAGGATATAACCTGTCAGGATCAATTGTGAGTACAACAATATTAGGAAGAATCCGAGTTGCAATTTCAGTGATGTCATAGTAGGAACTGGTGGCACATAAAGCCATAATGCCTGTAAATTAAAATTTAAAATGGTGAAAATATACAGTTTGTATAATTCATCAACTTCAAAACTGAAGAAAAAGTGTAAAAGGAGATGGGTGTAACTCTAACACCTGCTGCTCTGGCAGGTGAAAAGGTATCACGTAATGCACGGACTGTAAATGCATTAATCAACACTCGTTTTCTTGTCTGAAAAAATAGCTCCCAGGAGTTAATTAACCAATGAAAATTTTCTACCAACATTAAATAAAATATAGCAACTATCTGAACAAGAAAACATAATTTGATCATACCCCTTCATTTAAGTAGTTTGCAATATTTCCCAACAAGATGGTAGTATTTGTTCGTATAGCTGGTTCTTCATCAACCTACAGAACAAATTGTAGAAAAGAAAAAACCAGGAAAATTGTTCACTTTCCCTGTCAGACTTCATTTCCCACACATTAATGGTCGAAGCACTACCTGTAACCTTGACATATGCTTTAACAATGACCCTGAAAAGGTCCTTTGAGACAACTGCAATTATGAGACAAATAACATTTTAACAAATAGAAACTTAGCTACTATAGATTCTTCAAATAGAAGAAAAGATTTGGGAGGGACAAGAAGAAAAGGAACAGCAAAGATAAAGGAACAAATCTTTCAAAAACATGGCATTTTAAAGAAGCTATGTCAGGAACAAAAAGCTGAAAGGAGAAAGAAGAGAAAGATTCTATTGAATAGGATGAAAAGAACAAGAAATATGAGAACACTCATTCCTCCAAGTGTTTTCCCTTTACAAAGGATTTCTCCTTTCACAAACAGCTAATGCTCAATTTAGAAATGAACATCTCTCCTTCTCTCCTATCCTTCTTCCCTTATTCCAACTAACACCTCAACTAACTAAATAACTTTCTGACTATCACAACAAAATTTCCCTTTCCTTATATCCTAACAGGTTCACTAACATATATACGAGGGATCGGGTAGCTTGTTTCATTGCTTCTCTTTTTCTTGGTATTTTTTATTTTTTGTTCTTTATCCTATGTTCTCTGTGTAGTATTTTCTGTCTCAAAATTACTTCTTTTATATAATATAGAAAATCAATTTTAAGGGTCAATCAAAATTCTAAGACACTTTGATATTATAAATGTGAATCAGAAGAAACACATTTAACTCGCTGAAGTGCATTCAACTTTAGTTATGCCAACCCAACATCATTCAACGTCTGTGAAAAAATATTAGTGTATCTTGAAAAATAAGCAATAATTTCCCAAAATTTAATAATTCCCAAACATTTACTTAATCAAACACATGAAGAAGCAAGGTAGTTCTAATAGCAATACAGAGCTCCTCTGTAATGCTAATTCCCAAGCTCCGACACAGCCACACCTCATCTTAACAATGTAAGATATTATAGTAATATTACACTATAAATATTAATCAAATCTAATGATAGAGACATTACCTAAAACTAATTTAAGCCATGTGTTAAATTGAAACCAGGCCAAACATACCGTGCAAACACCAAAAAATTGGCACCAGCAATATAACTGTCATAGCAAATTTTGATTGCCTGAAATTCTAATTACAACAATAACACCTCCCTTTTAAGGTATAATGAAAAGGGAAAAAGAATTGCCAACATGAATATTAAAAGACATACCTTTGGAGCCAGAATTAGCATGGACTTGAGTGTAAGTTCCCTTAGAAAAGCAGATGTATCAGAGAACCCCGTAGCAACATGAGGGTAAACCTTATCATATATGTCAACAATAGAAGTGAAATATCCATGTTGAGAAGATGAATTTTCATATACTGTAACACAAAAAAAGAAAATCAAACAATCTTATCCTGACAACATACCTGCTCGTCAACGACTTGTGCTGATAATGACTCCCCATATTGATCAATATGTTGAAGAAGTCCAACTCGAATAGCTCGGTCATTGGATGCAAAAAGCTTAACAATGGTTGGAAGCACCTATATATTATTATATAGTGAAATCCAATTCAAGCAAGGGAATCCTGGTTAGAGAGAGAATCAAATACTATGAAAGAAGGAAGATAAGGGGTATCATAAAGGTATTTAAGTTGTTATACACCTTGACACGGAACTCCTCGGCTGAAAGCCCAGAACCCATTTTCAACAATGCAGTCAAAGCAGGCGCAGAAGCTGAACCATATTCAAGTGCAGAAGCTAATAAAGGAAGTAACTGAAAACCAAAATTGTCCAACATGATCAATTGGGATAAAATGTTTATCAAATTAAAACTTGCAAAGAAACATACTTTTTTCAACACAATCTGCTGAGGAAGCTGCTCTGACAAATTTGGAAGCTTGCGGAAGAAGGTGTCTTTCTCAACACTATCTTTCAAACTAAGAATCTCCATGAAATGTATCGTGTCTACTAACTTATTTTGAAAATACTCTGCACATCCATTTCCAACAAACTTAAAATAAATACATGGAAAGAATTGCAGAGATTTATATCAGGACAGAAAAAACAATGACTATCAGAAGTTCAAAACAAGAAAAACAAACATTTAGAATGTGGTATAGATTGTTGAAATGGATTTTATTTTAGCTTGTTTTTCACCTGATCATGAAGCAGAAGAATGCCCTCCTAAGTCCTAAATCTGAAAAGCTAAGATCAATTTACATTAGAATGTGCTATCAATACAACACTCAATCCTATAAACCAGCACATCTGCATGTACACCCCCTCTCCTTGATTGGTCTCCTCTCCAATAAAGGCCATCAAATTTCTTTATTCTCTTGTATACAATCTAATCAGGAAGTTAGAGTTATATAGCACATATCAGATTTAACTGCTTTCTGATAAGCTAAAACATTACTTGAATGCATTAAGTTAAACACGAAACCTATTTCCAAAAACTAATGCTAAGCAACCACCTCAAAAACTGTTAGATATAACTAATACCATCTATATTGTCAAAATGCAAACCATTACCAATGTTTCCAATGCAGTTTTAAACTACAGTTTATGACAATCCTAACACAGTAAAGCCAATAACAAGCCCAAATGGCAAATACCTATATATAGCCTTATAGAGAGGAATATACTAGATCCTATAGCATACAAGAAAATTTGAAGAACAGTCCTTCAAAGTTCAAAAAAAGAAGTTAAACTACAACAATGCTAAAGCTAACAAATTTTCTGTGAATAATAAATATAAATATATCAAGAAGCACTCACCGCTGTTTTCTATAAGCTTTGATGTATTTAGTCTACGAGAGGGCACAGAACTCAGCAGCCGCTGGTAATCTGGAAGCAGAGACTGTATGCCAAAAACAAAAGTCATACAGAGATGAAGAATGAATATTTCATTAGAATGAGATATAAAAAAGTAACCAACAGAGTAAAGCCTCACTTAAACATTATATGCAGTAATAACTACAAACACAAACCAACACTAAATTGCTAAGCAAGATGACCTTGGGAATGGAGACAGTGTTGCGTAACTCCTCTGTTTTGCCCAACTTTATACCAGAGAATAGCTCATAGATTAGACAACCTATAAAATAGGATTTTATTGATTTTGAGAGGTCTATTATGAGAACCAACAATATCTTACAAGTTTACATAATTTGAACCAATATTACTGATGCATGGACAAAAGGTAACATATTTTTTCTTATATATCAACATACTTTTAAAGAATATTTATGAGAGAAAAGGTTGAAACAAATATGTAAACAATAAATTCCAAAAATATATTCAGTTTTCTACTTACTAGGACTGGAAAGAATGGGATTGCTAACTATCAGTGACATTATGCCAAGGTAGATTTAAGAATGAGTGAGATATATTTTTTATAGTTCATTCCTTCTTCATTAAGAACTAAAATTGATATTATGATCCATTCTTAGCAAAACAGAAAAACAGCAATGTACAAACATATCCAAGCCCCAAGAATAAATGGGTATGGAGTTTAACTTACAGCACCACTTCTTTATATAAGCAAGTATAAAGGACCAACTCTCCAAAAGCTTAAGCAGTTAGGTGATGGTTCAAGATTGGTTTTATATCATTAGCATACCTCCTCGCAAATGAGCCCATTGGGTCACAATCATAAATAATGTACAGGATCAATCTGCCTCTGGTGATAATCAGCTTTTAGAAGAACAAGAAGCAGGTGGAGGATTAAATTCATTGAAACTTTATCATCGAAACTTTGGTATCATGTCAAGGACCGACTCTTGCAAAAGCTTAAGATTTTTGGTGAAGGTTCAATATCGGTTTTTATGTCTTTAGTAAGAAAATTAATGTAGTTTCATAAATAAAATTCATTTGTTTCTTTTTATGGCCAGCTATAGATGAGAAAGAGTTCCATAATACATGTTGTATGACATGGTACAACCATATTGATTGGCTAGAAAGAGGACATAAAATGTCACCATCAGCAAGCAAGAGAAACTGAAACAATACCAGAATGTTAATTGGTTCCATTCCACCTAATATTTCAAATTATGCATTATAACTGAGAATAACATACCCATGCCCCAAGAATCAATGGCCCAAGGAGGAGACTTCTTAATCGCAGCCCAGTCAGATTTTGCTAGTTCCATTGGTTTGTATTGTGATCCCACAAGCCATGCATATTGCTGAATGGAAAACATGTGAGGAATATATATATTAGGTTTCTTCACTGCTTGAGTTTTTTTTTTTTTTTTTTTAAACGATAAAAGGTCTCACAAATCCTTGCAAGGTCCTCCCTATCACCCTGGGTCAAAAAACTCCTTTCAAGAGAGAACACATGGCTGTAGCTTGAGAACAAGTTTTGATGTCACACTTGGGTCTGCCAAAGTGTAAGGCCATCGTGACCTTTTTTTAACCGCATACTAAGAAACATATCCTAAAGTTAACAAGAAAACGAGGTATTGCATCCAAACCCTATATTACCAGCATTTGCCCAGAGGAAGTTTCGTTATTCCCATCAAACTCAGAGAGAACATCAAAAGCATGGAGTTTCCAGTCTAAAGTTTGTGTGACAACAACACTTGCCAAGCAAACATTAGCATGAACCTGCAACACGCAAAGTTTGTCAAGAAAAAAACAAAACATTAACCAGTGAGCATAAAAACATATTTATATTATCTCATGAACACTCACGAGTTTACAATCGTTATTTAAGAAGCTCACAGCTTTTGCTATCTGATGCAGGCCCCAAGCATAATATTCATCCCTACAACCCAACACGTAGCAAAATATAACAAATGAGCACTACTTACTCAATTCAAAAACCAATTGATACGAAACAGCACAATCAAAGTCAAAGCTTTCATCCTGCATAATTTCAATATAATATTACACTCGAACTCATGTGCAATGAAAGTTGCCAAACAATGCTCAAGCAACTGAAGCACATCACAAAGCAGGAACTCCATCTATACCTTTGTGTACCTTCAAGACCTAGCTCCTTAATCTTATCTGACAGCGGCATCACAGGCTCGGTTACCACATAAATTGTAACCTTGGGAGAACCAGCATCAACAGTTTCAATCTCGGTGCTGTGAAGAAAAGACAGAATATTCGGATGCCTAACCTGAAAAAGTGCACTATCAAAAGGAGAAAATCATCCAAAATTTGAAACCCCGCAGCAACACAAGACAAGCAAAGCATACAGTGCGTAGACGCTTAACACCATTACGTCCCGCAGCTAAATGTCCATCCTGAGCATTGCTGCCAGAAAGAGAAAATATTGACACTGGAGAACCATCATCCTGAAACCAAAACCAAATTAACGTCAAATTAGGTTTAGTTCCAAATTGAAGCAAACATTGACATGAACATTATGCACGTATAATTGGAGTTTGGAGTTACTGGTTTATGAATAAGAAGAATAGGTGAAATTGAGTTACCTTGGAGGTGCCGCGAAAATGAAGCCACGATCCCCAGGCAGAAGCGTAAGGTTCACCGATATTGTATGGGAGATCTTTGAGGCCGATGCCAGATCCAGCCACCACCTCTTTCAAGAATTTGAACATTGCTTCGATCCTCGATCACAATTCTGATCCGATCACTGATCAACCAGGCACGCCACTACCTATAATAAATATGACTCCTTCTACTCTACGACACCTTTCAAGATCTGAGACATATAACACTCTTCCTCAATGTAATTCAACTGCAGGAGAAGAAAATGTTTCGTCGTCATGCAACATCATCGTGGAGGAGGGAAATGCTAAGGTCAGGCCACCTTCGCTTTAATGTGCTTTTAATGTTAACTTTCATTGTTTTTATTTTGTTTTACTAAATAAATGGTTAAATTGGGTTAATTTTCCTATGAATTTATCAAAAATAAATTCTTGTAAACCAAGCAACAACCACCGTTATCATGACACGAGGATACCATAATCATTGGATTAAGAATGTGTAATTTTTAATTTAACCTTGTGTAATTTATTTTGTAAAGATAAAAAATAATTTTGTTTGCACTATATAGGGAGTGGTAATGGTAATATAATACTCCAAGAGTCCATGTACCAGTTATTCCGTTCTAAAAAATTCTGTTTCGTAATTATGGATATTTTTTTTCTTCGCGAGACGCAAATTATTCGAGCTAAATTCATGTACATAACATAACCACAAAGTTTTCGTTTTTAAGTTATTTGATGATGGTAACATGAGTAACAATATGTATTTGAAGGATTTGGAGGATGGAGGATTGATGAGAAAGACTAGAATAAGAAAACAAAAGAAACTTTATTTCTATTATTTAAATACAAGCTCATGTTTTAAGCGAAAAGATTAAAATTGTGAATTATATCATGTAAAATTGAGTGTTTAAATTATGTTTTGGATTAATCAAATAATGAACTTTAATTTAATTTTGTTTTAAGTTTTAATAAAGGTTCAATTAAAAATTTAGACATCAACTTTAAGTAGTTACAATTACAATTAGTCATTAAATAATTTTTAATTTCTAAGTTAATTAATTATTATTAGCATTTATATACCTTTATTAACTAGTTTTCAATTTCTAAATTAATAGATCATTATTAAGATTTATTTTGTAATTCTGATGACAAATCTTCGTTGAACCATTTTTATCAAAAATATAAATTAAATTTTATTTAAAAATATTAAAATTTAGTTTTTTTTTATTTAAAAATATTAGAGTTTAACTTTTTTTTTTATCTTAATAAGAATGATTAACTTAAGTTCTTGAGTAATTTAAAAACCCTTAATTGTATCATAGATTTTTCACATACTTTATGAATTACCATTTTGGGATGAATGATTCTCCCTCCTTACCTTTTACATTCATCTATTGTCTTTTCTTCACCATAATCTAGAAAACTCAATTCTCTCCATATTTATTTCGTAATCATAACTACTTAGTATTTTTAAACCCAAATTAAAATTCATAACGAAAATTTTTACCTCATTTATAAATCATCTCAATCGAAATTTTATAATTTGAGATATGGACGTTTCAAAAATTTTGTCCACCTTCTCACTAATTTTCTAAATTTACTACAAGCTTCTCACTAATTTTCTAAATTTACTACAAGGTTCTAAGACGTGTAACTGATTGAGCAAAAGGACTGCAACTCAATCGTTGGCTGGAAACTAGGAATGAAGGTAACAACACTACATGCTTGATACAGCACATGCAAAATTGATATCCTACAGATATATATTAGTGGCCTATTTTGAATTTTGATAAAGATAAAGAATTAGGATCACGTCAGTCACAACTTGAATAAAGTCTCTACTTTCATCTGCAGAGCGAAGGGAGGGTAAAGATTTGCTTTGAAGATTCAATTCATTCCCTAACAGTATATTATTTAACCCAGAACCACAAGTAAATAGAACTAATGAATCTTTACCAGAGAGGGTAGAGCTATATATCCTTGGATCAGAAGAAGCTTGTGCATAAGTACTTAACAGAATGCTAAAAAACTAATTAAGTGCAACGTGATACATATGGGCATACAAATATCTCTGGGGAAATTCCATGTAAAGGTTTGTATTAAACATTCATCACCGAGGGCTGCTTGTATTCTGTTTGGCCTTCTCAATCAGGGGCTTCAGCTGCTTCTTCTCAGCAAGAATCTTAAGAAAGTTAAATAAAAAAGGTATGTAGTTGTGTTTCCTACGAATATTTTCTGTTTTCCATTTTTTGAATTTTTCTTCCTCCATCAAGATCTTCTCAGTAGCGGCTTCAATCCCAGCATTCACTTCAGATAGGGAATTGTTCAGTGCCTCAAAATTGCTATTATCCACCAGTCTGTCCGACTTTGATGCTGCCAGCTGCTGCAAAATGCGCTCCCTCGTCTTCTGAAGTTCCTTCAGCTCAGCCGTGTACATCTCTTTCCTGTTCTTGATGATTGCCAGGAGATTAAATCTTATCTCACTTTGGGAATACCTTTCAATCCGTTCTTGTATCACAGGCTGCACCATCTTCAGCCATTCCATATCACCTTGCCCACCAGAGCACTGACCAAGGCTGATAGGACCCTCCTTCAATCCATCAAGCTCATATAGTACCCCATCAACAGGTAGATAGCTTATGAAATGGTAAACATCATCATCTTTACTGGCAACCTTTTGCTCTTCAGGAACAAAAGGTTCTGGCCTAGCAAAGCTATTATGGGCTGTTCGAATGGCTTCACTGTTATTGATGGCCAAACCTTTGAGTTCTGGAGGAAAGTTCTTGGTAAATTCTTTCAATTTAGTCAGCTCTGGGCCTATGTCAATATCTGGTGAATTCATAAGAATGGACAAGATCGCTTGGGTTGCACAAGCATTATTTATTACCTACAAATGGACCACTAGATTAGTAAAATCATGCAGAAAACAAATACGATTTTTGGTTTAAAGTACTATAAAAGTGACAATAACCTGGCTGGCAAAAAACAAGTTAGGGTTGGGATCTTTGATAACAACTCGGTCATCCTTTTCCCCTGGACGCCATTTGAAAAGAAAAATCAACCCATAAACAGGCCTGAAATCAAGGATAAAAGATAGAAAGCTATTAATTATCACAACATATGGAAATTCAAAACTAGCTGATATAGCACACCAACCTAAGGCTGTTGAGAGAGTCAAGGTCCAACGAATATAGTTCCTCAACCTGCCAAGACATATCTAGGATTGAGGATAGCATGCACAGAACATATTACAACTAGAACCAAAAAGAAAAATTAATTTTGCAAAGCCCTGGAATTTACCAGATTTATTTGGGATCACAAAATTGAACAATTTCCGTTGTCATTAAATTGAAAATTGTCAGTAGATCAATTCAAATTGATAATTTTCTAGTAGAACAAATTAACAGACTCAGAATAATTCCAAACAGACATGCCCTGAATTGGCAAGAAATGGCAATATGTGCTTTTAATTCATGCCCAGGAATATTATCCTATTTTCACATGGTACAAGTTTTTCCTAAGGACATATAGAGGTAGAAAGACAGTCCTTTCCCCTTCCACAGCATAACTTTTTCATTTTCCCTATAGGTCATAGTTCGAAAAGGAAACCCCCAGCCCATAGACCTTTAATTACAAATCTAATTTCAAATAAAGGTATTTCACCTCCTCACAATCCATAATTTTACAGAGGTGGTTAACCCCGTCAATTTTATTGCTATTAAGCTGACCTGTGCACCCCTTCTCATTATTTATGCTCATGTACAATGAGATAATCTTTCAAGATTTCTGTTTAAGGACAGAGAGTGTCCTTTTTATTTTGGAGGGGTTTGGAGGGCCTCCCGATGGTTCATCACTTCATTACAAAGGATTTTGAGAAAACAAGGAGGCAGACATTTTCATTTTCAAGACCGCACGTGCAGTCTACATAGTTCTTCAGTGAATTTGGTTGGATCAAATGCTTCCATCTATAAGTAAGTCTCTTTCCTACTAAAATTATTACAGGAAAGGTTGTGTCTATCTATTCTTATTGCTGCTGTGCTCATAGGTTCATGATAGCTTCAAGGGAGTTAGCTCCCATCTGCAAAGAACTTGACAACCTTTTTCCTGATGCCTTCTTTATTTTCTGCACCTTCTTTCTTCTATATCGTTTTATCAGGTTTGGAGGGTATTTTTAGCACCCCTGGTTGTATTCTCTCTCTCTTCTCTTTTAACATTAATTACATTATTATAAATGCTAGTATACAACACAGTCTGCAAAGCAAAGATTTCACAAAACCAACCTAAATAAATGTACTAACAAATACACAAAATTTCCAATTAAATATCTCTGTAATGTTGAACCTAAATGCCAACCAAACATGTTCGTGGGAATAATATTTTAATCATAATATTTCCCAGGAATACAACATTATACCTGGAAATATACATCCTGCAAGATATCTTTCAGTGTTCATTTGGGTGTTAGGTTTTAGAGAGAAAAGCAGGGGCAGACAATTTATTAATGTTTCTAAATATATATATATATATATATATATATATATATATATATATATATATAAGTAATAAAATTTGAGAATATTCATTAATTATTAAAAAAAAAAAAAAAAACTGGTGTCCCCTCCCTTACCCTCCAAAACCCAACTCCCAAGCACACCCCTAGGGAAGCAAATTATCCTAAACAACCAATAAAACCAAGCAGACTATGAAAAAATAAAATCCAACAAAAATACCTGTACACCTTTCACTTGCATTTGCTGAATAAGCTCTGTAAACACGCCTGGGGAGAAAAAGAAGCAAAATCAAACTCTAAAACAATGTGCCAATCAACATCTATATCAAACAGAATTGCATGAGCCCTCAACCCTAACGCAAAATCCTAACCATATATTCATCTAAAAAACAAAAGCCATACCGGGATCCGACTCAATGGTGCACCAAGACATGATTCTAAATTGTTCGAAGCAACCTGCGAACAATAAAAGGAACAGGAACGCAGATTCAGGTGTATAATTTCATGAAAAAAATATGATTAATTAGTCCCGCTTGTCGACACAGAGATAAACAAATCCCACTCCTTATTTTCTCTCCGGCAGCCAGAGATATTTCAATAGAGACACGAAACGACGCTAAAATTGAATCCTTTTGCCAATAAAACGACACGAAAGAGAGAAAGGGTACCTCGTTACTCACACTCTCTCCCTCTGATACCCCGACTGGGTTAAGGCTTTGCTTCGGCTCTGTAATTTCAGTCCTTCCTTTTCTTCCGTCGTCTACACTGCCCAAGGGTTTATACATCAGCCACGTCATCACACTATTCAATTACAATTTCCTGAATTTAAGAAAACAATTATAAATCAATAATTTTGATACCAAACCTCTTAATAGAAGTGAGATACATTTTTAAAATATTTTAATGGTATGTAAATTCACACTAAGTAAATTTAAATAAAAAATATATCGAAAATATGTATGATTAACAAAATTATCAAATGATGGAAACAAATTGTAGTCTAAATAATTTGCAAATAGTATTTTTCGTATTTAAAAAAATGGTGAGTTAATTTTTAAAAACATTATTTATGAATTTATAGTAAAATATACTCATACAGCACAATGATCCTAAACCTTTTATATAGGTTTTTTTTCCTAATTATTGAGTTTATTAGATTTGAGTATCTTTAAAGTTTATATATTTAAATGAAAACTTTTAACAAATTTAATATATTTCCATATGTAATATTTAATAATTATGCTATTCTTTTATACTCTTGATATAAAAATGTTAGCCCATAATTATCTTAATCAAATGTTTACTATATGTTAATATAAAACACAGTCAAAATTAACATTATAATAATTATCAGCATGAAAAATATATGAAAGTTAACATATGCTTGCAAAAGTGACTTTGTTTTTTAATTTCAATTAAATTAATAAACACGTATTATTATATAACTTGGAAACAGGGTGTTCAAATTTTTATTACGTTTTTTTTTTCCTTAATATAAAATAGTGTTTTTTAAGATTGCGAAAGGAAAAAAAAATTGTGTATTTGAAAGTGATTTCATAAAAAAGGAAATGATAATTTTTTATTAATTTTATTACAGATACAAAATTGAAGAAAAATTGAAAAACATATTTGTTACTAAAATTAAGTATCTGTAATAGATTTTATCCATGATATATTTGAATATGAATTTTTTTTTTCAGTGAATCAGATAAACCTATTTAAGAATTTTTTATTTTTTCTTTTACAAAATGCAAAAATAAATACGGGGAGGGACGCATATGGGAAGAGAAGAAAAACCTTATCTCCCTTTTCTGGCCAATGGAGCGGGAATCATGATTTCTTACTCTCTTATTTCGTGTACACTCATAAATTCTGTGTCCATATTTGTATCTTTAGTCAAATATTTGAATTTTTTTTTATAATTTTATCTTTTACACAAACTTCTATTTTTAATTTATGTATAATTTTTGCATTAACTTCTATTTTTAATTTATATATAATTTTTACATTTTCATTGTTCGCCATCTTCATTCCTTAATTATTTGATTTTTTTTTATTATAAGATATTTTCTAATAATTAAGATAATTAATTATTAATATTATATACAAATTACATATTTTTTACTTAGATTTAAATTATTTAATATAAAATAATATCACGAAAATAAAATTAAATTTCAAAATACACTTTTACATTGATTGTTTTTTAAATTAAGACGTTTTCTAAAATTAAATTCCAAAAAAATGGATTCGAAATACATTTATAAAAATTTAATTTCAAAAATATAACCATGCATCTTCTTTCAATTATAAATTTATGCTAACTTAAATCAAATATTATATATAATTTTTAGATTATTTTTTTATAAATATTAAAATAAATAATTAAATATATAGAATAATAAACATTTTATATTTTGTTTACCTTTTTTTGTATTTTTTTCATTCATATGATATATTATTTTGTCACTTCGAATCATTGATAAGATTCACTACAACTTAATTTGATTCAATATATTTAGTAAGAAATGGAGAGGATTGTTGTGGTGTGATTAGGTGGATTTAAGAAGATTTGTTTAAAAAGTTTTGAGTATGAAAACATGGTTTAAGGTGAGAAAAAGTGAAAGATTTGTGAGTATAAATAACACTGTCCCTCTTTAATTTTTTGTCAATTTTTTAAAATTTTAAAAAATATACTTAAAAGACAATAAATTAAAAAGTATTTAGGATGTTGAAGATGAATCATAAATTAAGGTTGACTATAATGGAGTCTCGCACAGCCATTATTTTATGTTACACGATTTTTTAACATAATTTCACGATTAAAATCTTTAGTCTTTATATATATATAAAACTAAATACAATCTAATAAAATAAATTTATTTGAAAATGAAAGTATTATTTACACTTGATACACATAAAAAATAAGAAAAATGAATAACCAAATGCAGAGAAAACACAAATATGGCGAATATGGTTGTCTCTGTTACCTTTTCAATGACTTGAAATAGAAGCACATGATATTGCGCCACCACTTACCAATGCCAAAAAGTTTCATATAATATTATCACTCTAAAAAACTTATAACATACATAATTTATATTAATAATCTATTCTATCTTATTTTAAAAAAATTGATTTATGTAATTATTTTTATTTATATATATTTATTCATCTTTAATATTATATAATTATTTTTTGAATTATTTTTATAATTACTTTCTAAAAAATATAAAGACATGAAATTTATGATAAATAATAATAATAATTCTTGTTATATTCATAAATGGTTATAAGTTTAAGATGGGTTAAAAATCAAGAATAATGATAAATTATATAAATTTTCTCTCTCATTTTAGAGATAAATTTTAAGAATAAAAGTGTGATCAAGTTATCAAGTATACACATTGATTTTTAGAGACAAAACATGATAGAGTAAAGTTAAAAAAGGCGGAAACATTTTTATCATCGTTATCAATTTTATATTAGAAAATGAAATTGACTAAAAATAATAAAAATAAAATTCTATTAAATTAATTATATTATTTCTCAATTTCTCCACCAATAAATAAAATAGTATTGGGATTCAATGAGATGGGACTAAACAAGCAGAACAAGACAAAAGAAAAAAAAAGTGTATATTGTTTGTAACCACCTTAAATTTTCTTAATAAAGAAGAAAGAAAGAAAAAAAAAAAAGAAGTTAGATGAATTCGATGTTTTAACAACAATAGATATTTGTTTGTTTGTGACATGCGTTGTTCCGTTCCCGCTCCTTACGTCAACTAACTATATCTAATCTAAACTCAAATTTAGGGAAGAAATTTTTCCATTTTATTCAATTTTTGTAAACCTTACGAATTCATAATTGTGATTACGATTACGACCACGGTCACCACTTTCTCCACTAATTTTCCTTTTCTATGTTGCATCTTGCTTGTGGCTAATCAACTCTTTTCCATGACCTTTGCTTCTGATTTTCATCACAGCACAACACCCTTCTCTGCTTTTGAAAACCAGATATGAAGTCACCTTCTCGAGTACCCTTTCTTTCTTTCCTTCCATTGTCATCTTACTTTTGCTTCAATTCACATTTTCCTTTTCTTTTTCTAACGCTAATGAGGCCAACCAATAACCATGTTTTTTCTTCTGTTTTATTTGCTTTCATAGTTTTCTTTCTTTTGCATGGCCTAAGGCTGTAATAAGAAAAAGGGTATCATAAAGGTCTTCAATTTTATGTAAACATTGTGTATTGCTTTTATCTAACCTTGTCTTATGTTGGACCAGGCTTTTTCTGGTGGTGATTCAAAGAGTACAAAATCATGTCTTTATGTCATCTTCCCAGCAGTTTCTTTAATTTGTGCTGTTTTATTTTTCATGAATTCGATCTTATCATCACAGGTATACATTAATCATCCTTGTCTCTCAATAATGACTTTGACTTTGATTAAGTAGGATTCATCACGTTCTTCCAAATTTTATGCAGTCGAAACTATCAAGCTGGACAATGGACGCGCAACAAACTGTAACAGTTGATAAATGCAAGGTTTTATTTCTCACTTGGCATGCTTTTTTTTTTTTCTTGATCATGTGCCATTTTTTAGGTACTGAATTTTGGTGCTTATATTTTGTTTATATCGTTTAGTAGAACCAGTGCAGGCCTAAGGGAAGTGAGGCATTACCTGAAGGCATAGTCTCCGCCACTTCCAGTTTCAATTTGCGACCTCTCTGGGATCCTCCCATGCCTAGAAAGAGAGGTCGCCACTCTGTAGAAGCAACTCAAGTGAGTTTCTGTCCATGTCTTTCTTGAGTGTATTGATGCAAAATATGTGTTCTCTTTAATCCACACTCTATTGAATAGAACACATATCATCGATACAAGTCATAATTGTGATCCTCAAGATTTGTATCTCTCAGAACATTTGTCCTTTAAATTTAATGATAATTTAATATATTTATTTATATATTTACAATTTTATATTCTTACCTTTTTTATATTTTTTATTCTTTTATATTTATTTATTATTTATTAATAATATATTATTTTTGCATCTCAAATCAACGGTGAACCACCAACACCATCTATGTTCAATGGCTAATTTCTGTTGTGTTTCCTGCCTTTTTGGCTCAGAAACTTTATTGCAATTTTTATCCATGTGTAATTTTGGACTATCGCGTGGGATTTTCTTATTATTAATTGATCTGAATAGATGAAAAACTAAGAATATAGTTTACCACAAATATTATCCATGATTGTCTTGTTACGTGAAAAGTTGTTAGACTGGCAATTATGTATCAATTAACATTTTACTCCATAGTAGAGACTAAAAATGGTAACGAAAATTTTAGTAACTTTGATTGGTCAAAATTTAAAACAAAGACTAAATGCAGAATTCTGAAAAAGTTTGGAGACAAAAAAGTTAAGGTACTAAACCTTTTTCTTTACTTCTGGTATGGTAAGGTTAAGGTGAATGCATCAAGCAATTTGTTTGCGATGGCTGTTGGGGTAAAGCAGAAAGAACTTGTGGACAAAATGGTCAAGAAGGTTCTCTGATGAGTTATGCACAGATTGTTTGTTCATTACAAATTCTCTTGTTGTTTATGGGTCTGTGACCCTCTTTCTACACTACATTGCAGTTTTTGGATAGTAATTTCATTGTGATGCTCTTCCACTATGATGGTATTGTTGAAGGATGGAATGATCTTGAGTGGAATAGTCGTGTCATTCATGTGTCAGTAACCGGTCAAAGCAAATGGTAGGTTTCTAGGTGATTTCACTTTCCACCCCATCCATATCTTGAATAATCTTTGTTATCCTAAGTATGTTTTATTCTGGACATATTTCCACGGATTAGGTGGTTTGCAAAACGTTTCTTACACCCTGACATAGTTGTAGAATATGATTACATTTTCCTTTGGGATGAGGACCTAGGTGTGGAATATTTCCATCCAGATAGGTATGTAGAATTCCGTTTTAACATTTGTTAATTACAATTATATAGTTTGATGATCTTGGACTTTCATCCAAATATAATCCTGTCTCATGATTTTTACCATATTTCTTAAACTATTTTCAGTTATGTTTCTATTATCAAACGTGAAGGGTTGGAGATATCACAACCAGCACTGGATCCTACGAAATCTGAAGTGCATCATCAGATTACTGCACGAGGGAGGAGGTCAACAGTGCACAGGTTCACTTTATACCCTTTTCCTGTTCTCAATAGAATCTTACTCACTCCGTAGTTTTAAGTTTTTTTAACGCAAGTGATCAACAATGAATATATCATTGTGAAAGAAGGAGTATCTGGTTCTCATTATATTACCATAGCATTCTCCACTCTTCCAATAAGTACTTCTTTAGAATTAGGCCCTGCTGTTATGTGTCTAGGACATCCTCTGAAGATTGACTTTGCTATATACAATCGAACCGTTGATGCACTTTCTATGAAGTCTATCTCATCTCCCATGTTTCTGGTAGCAACCAAGGTTTTGCCCATGGCTTTTTGGCGGTTATAGTTACCAAAAACTGACCATACAATACACCTCATGCGAGAAGGGGACAAACCCCCTCAATCCGTGGTAATGAACAATTGTTGAAAAAAACTGAGGGAAGACTAGCCTATCCTGTGTTTTCTTTGGAATGATGTTGATACTAGATAAGTGTGGTTTGAAGAAAATGCTTATTTGTGGATGCTTTTGGTCTCTGTGTTTGCAGAAGGACATATAGAGCTGGTAATGATGGTAAAGGCTGTGATAAAAACAGTACAGCTCCACCTTGCACAGGGTAAGTATTATTTTGTTGAAACAACAAATTGAATGTGCAATTCCCTTTATTTACACAGTTGAAGAAATTAAAGATGAACTAATTCGATTCAGGTGGATAGAAATGATGGCTCCTGTTTTCTCAAGAGATGCATGGCGTTGTGTTTGGTATATGATTCAGGTGCTCCCCTCTGTACTACTAATGCTGCTGTGGAGAATTGCCACAAACATGATCTATACTGGTTTTATTCACAATCTGTGGTTTATTTTACAGAATGATTTGATCCATGCATGGGGTCTAGACATGCAGCTTGGTTACTGTGCTCAGGCAAGTTAAACTATGTTTTGGTTAAATTTGATTTCCTTTTTCTATATACAATACCATAGATATTGTTGGTACTATTCTCAAATCAAAACAAACTATTTTATTTGGATAACCATTGTTTTCCTAGTGGCAACCAGAATCAATGGCGATTACCTAGATGAAACACAAATTTTAATTGGAGAATAACGCTAATTTAAATTTTGCCCTTTTGTCATTCTCCTTTTATTTTTGCTTTCTAGCTCAACATGACCTTATTTCTGATGGATACAGGGCGATCGAACAAAAACCGTTGGTGTTGTGGATGCTGAATACATTATCCACTACAATCGTCCGACTCTCGGAGGAGTAGATAAGAATGTGATCAGAAAAGTTCATTTTTTATGACATACTTGTTTTAGTTTTCTAGAAGACTATAATTCCTTAGGACACTTCTCACCTTGCATGTGTCTCTCACTCTATCTTCCTAGGAACTGAAACTTAGCTGTGACTTGCAGGTTACATCTCAGGAAAAGGATCACAGAGTTGATGTAAGTTGCCATGTTGTCATGATTTGTCAATTGAAGAATTATCTGAACGTTCTGACTTAAAAGCATGTTTCATTTTGCTGTCCGATTCAGATTCATAGACTAGTACCATTCAGATTCTTTGGAAAACTTTTGCCTCTGATGGGCTAATACTTGGGCTGTGTTTGTTTGATAGTACAGAAAAACAACTTTTTGGGGGTTCCTTCAGATGATTGATGCAATGGTCAACGAAATATGCACTACTTACCTTTCAAGTTTCATGATATAGCTATTTGTTACCATAAATACAAGATTTATTTTTACAAACAGAGATATCCAACATAGAGAATTGATTCTTCTAAAAAAAACCCTGTTCCCAAAAGTAGGAGATTGTGAGTAGAGATGAAAAGGAAGATTGTGGATTTAAGATCTAAAAGTGAAATCTACCCTTAGAACACAAATTGAGCAAGATTTTTTATATCATGAGAACCCGAAAAAAAGAGGACTATAAGATGTAAAAATAAGATCTTAGCTCCAATCCAAATGATCAAATTTAGAGATTCTTGTATGAGAAAATTTATGCCAAACTAACATTATTTTGGGGGTGGTGCAGGTGAGGAGACTTTCTTACCGGGAATTAGATATTTTTAAAAAACGTTGGGAAAAGGCAGTTAAGGAGGATGAATGTTGGGTGGATCCATTTTCACCGTCAGTGTAAGAATTGGAGTGGCAAACAAAGCTTTATGTAAATTTTGTACAGAAAAACATGTTAATTATGTAAAAAGAAGTGCTCCTGGTAGCTTCAGCAAGTGTGGATCAAAAACAATACTCCTGGAAATTTTTTTTCTTAGATAATGTGGGTGCCTTTAGTGGAAAATTTTCCACCTTTTAAAGGGAAATAAAAATATGATGAGAGGGTAGTTAGACTCTTGGCATTGTTGTTGTTGTTTTTTCTTGAGTAAACATCTTACTGTAATTTTTCTTTTTAATTTTGATTTGAGAAAAACAATTGACGTCATCTTGTCAAGTTCATTTGAAGAGAATTGATAATGATTGATTTTATTACCATATAATCGTTCATTTTATCTTCTTTTGTTTCTAATATAGGATGATCACTTTATTCAAACATTTTTTTCCATAGAACATTTAGTAAAAAATTTGTGTCTCAGCGATGGCAAGATGAGATGCAGTTTAATATTCAAAACAGCCAAATTAGTAGTGGCCACTGGCCAGTGAATTTGTATTCCCTCTCAGAACTACCAAAACGTTTGCTATTTCTTATGTTTTCAGCAGTATCAAAAAATTACTGCAGATCAGTAAAGGCAAATCTTAACGGGTATTCTTAGGTTATCATTTAAGAAATAAAAGTAAAAAATATTAAATGAAGATGAAAATACTTATTACACTAAAAATATAAAATATTTGTTAATTATTGTAAAAATAATTAGAAGTATTTAATACAATGTATTAGCATCTTCAAAAGAACTTGTTTGCAAGACACTATAGAAAATATTGAAGTGATTAAATGGTATGTGCTGCAGAGAGTGTAACCCAACTTGATAAAAACAGCCACAAGCAATTCCAGTTAAATTATCTTTACAACAGTGCATGGGTCGTTGCGAAATGAGGTAAGAAAGATTCCAAAACACTCTTCTCAAGATGCAGAATTTAGTTGCAGTTCTCCAAACCAAAGCCCACAGCCACAAATGCCTCTGCCTCACAAATTTATCAGAAATGCAACACTCTTGCTTTATTAATAACTTGACGCTATAGAAGCGTTGGTATTGGTATCATAAAACACATAGAAAAGAGAGAATAATACACATACCAAGGCTTTATCGCATTGATACATGAACCATCATGAAAAAATAGCAAAACCTATTAGAAATGTGGCAGGTTTGTAGTTAAGGCTTGAGTGTCCTGTTCTCCCACACCCCACCCCAATATAACACCCGAATAGTATCATGATTGAAAGGTGATAAACTATGATAAAGTCCTATACTCTCGACCTAAAATTTGGATTAACACTAGGTAAGTTATAAGAGAAGCAATTAAAGATGGCATTCAAAGCAATTGCATGTTTTAGGGGTGAAGGAACAAAAGCCAAAAGGTCTATTGGGAATGTTGCAATTGATGGCATAGCAACAGGGAGAGGGCAAGCAGATCCCTTTGGCTCCACCACAGCAGGTGCATACTGCACATATCTGGAAGCTTCCCAACTTTCTCCTGCTCTCATTCATCATCATCTGCATGGAAGCTACAGCAGCATTTGCCTGATAAAAAATGAAAATTAAGAAAATTGAGCTACAAATTTTTACACATTCATTTTGAATTAGGGGGAGATGAGAGGAGAGAAGGCTCACATTCACATTGGGTAAGAAAACAGACAAAAAAATGAGAGAGATGACGAGGCCATGAGCATGAGCAGAAGAGGGCATCTTGACAAGTGCTTTTTAGGTTCGAGATGATGTTGGTGATGGAGAGTAAAGAGTTTAACTTGTTTAGCGGAAACTGAACTATAGAGCTTTGCACACTGGAATTGGAGCCGGAAAAAGACTGCAGAGGAAAGACAAGGACAAGTGTTTACTTTGAAATCAGAGACCAGGAGTGTGACGCCTCTTGTCTGTACTCTATGCTCCCCTCTCTAGAGTTAAGGCTAGAGTTGATAATCCCATGGGATTTAATTGACAATGTCACCAATTTCCCATGACGTGTACAACTCTTCACACCTTGCATCGTTGTATATAATACTTCAAATACTTTCAAATAATTACATTGTCCTCATTAAACTTTTTTATTTCGATGGAAACACTTCCATCAAGTAATTGCATGTAAGCGTAATTTTTTTCTTTTTTCTTTTTAGGCAATGAATATAAGCAAAAGCAGTTAGTTATATATTATTAATGTATACCATCATTTCACATAAAATAACTATACGAATTTATATACTAAAAACCTATTTTGTTTTTAAATAATAATAATCCGTTAATATATATAATTTATTCGACAAAATATCCATATACTTCATTAAGAATTGTGATTCATTGAAAAGAGGTCATTCATAAGAGACCTTGAATTTCCGAAAGCGTAAGCCATCCTCCATACGTTGGAAAATAAATGATCCTAAGACTGTATTTACTTTTCTTTTTCACTTTAATTAACAAGATGCATTACTCTAATTTGTGGGAGAGGCTAGTCATGAGTAGTGATATTTTGAAATCCAGAAACGATACAACTCTTTAAACAACTCACTTTTATTAATATAATAATCTATAAAATGATTGAATAAAAATAAAAATAAAACAAAACTATTATTATAATATTAAAAGAGAGTTGTTTATAAAAGTTGTATGAATTTGGGTTGTCAAATTATCATTTTCCGGCTAGTCATAGACGTGATTTCGTTTTCAATTGATTTGACTAGAGTTGTGAAGATTGCCGGTCATACAGAACTATTGTCTTAGCCTGTTTTCTTCACCCCGACTTCTATTATGTATTTTCGTCAACACCTGAAAGGACATATTTAACAGCGTACAGCCTCAAGCTCGGTTTAACACCGAAAGTGATGCAGCAGAGAATAGTGATAATCTAAGCACAGCCTCTACACATTTCATTTGCTTCACCGAACAATGAAGAAAATCCTTCTTCTACTCGGCATGATTACTCTGCTGCAATGGTAGAAATTATATTATTTCAAAGATAAATTAAACTGTACGCCATCCAATAATTTCTTCAGCTACAGAAATGCGACTTTCTAAAGCCTGCATTAAAGATATAAATTCCAGATTATGATTTGATGCATGTGAACTGCAAACCCAACTCCGAGCAGAAAAAAACACCTGGGCTCCAGCAATCCACCCACCTGTAAGGGGACCATGAAATTTATAGCCTGAACGCCACAGCATTATTCTCTACAAGAACAAAAGTGACATACGTGTTGAGATTTGGCATATTGAAAAAAGTACATCAGTAAGGTTCAGCTTTCACTGCCTCCAACATTCATAATCAAGACTTTCTACCTTTTAACTTCTGCAAAACAGATCTGTCAAGGACAATCACCGCAGATAGTATATATAATCAGGAGAAAATAGAGGTAGAGATTAGAATTACATTCCAACAGTTGATCATTTACACGGATGTACAAAATCATAGTTTAACTTGATCAGCTAAATTCTGGTATGGCGATACTGTTGGCTTGCCACTGAAAAGAATTCCATACATTAACAGTAGACAGCATAAACCCAACTGCAGTGAGAGAGTAAAGTTTTGCAATGAGTTTCAATCCTGCACCCAATAAATATCCACATAGGAGGTAAAATTTGGTCATTACAGATTTCCTGAAAGAGGGTTTTACATATAATGTGAGTAGTCAATTAGAAAGAGAGGTGGCTTGAGGACAGGAGGATTGTTCACTTTGGGTTTGACCCAATGTGACAACATATGCTTAAATTTATCCAATGAGCCAGGTAACATGAAATCCAGAAAAATTGAACCTGTCAACTGCATTTAATTTCATTGACAGAATCAACTTGACATGACCTCTGTACATCTCCAGCATGGGAAATCAATTTACAGAATAATCATTCCACCGCTCCCCCCCCCCACAAAAAAAAAGCTAAATGACCCATTTTACAGTCATCCATCATCGTCAATGTCATCATCATCAGAAGGAATCTGTCTTGTCTCTGATAATGAAAGCCGCCTGGGCGTTGCTGAGTTTGACTCAACAAGCCCATCAGAAGATAAATTTAATGCAGCAGTTCCTGATGAAGATCCTAACAGATGCATGCTTGGGGCATCGGCTGAAGGCGATGCAGAGATATTACAGGTGAAAATTCCCATTGGATGGTCAAACTTGCAACTTGGGCCAAATTTGCATATGCCATAACGAGAATAGAATACACACAAAGGTTCTCCCTGTAAGAAATGGGACAATGCCTCTATCAGCTTGCACTAATTCAATAAAAACTGACAAGACCAAACTAATGTGAAGAGAATGATGACACAAATATTTGCAGATCATCCCATTTTCTCCAATTACCACAAACAAATACCCTTTTTCCACATATATTCACTTCAACGAAGGAAAAGAACACAGACTTCACACTAACTTAAAATTAAATAATATGAAAATCACACCATGTTCATATTTTGTGAATGATATGTCATAAATCAAGAGCTAAAGGAAAAACTTTAATGCTGTCAGTGATCATAGTTTGGTTAATATAATATAACAAATAAATACTTCAAACTGCTGAAACTAATTACCATTCTCAGCATCGTCTCTAATGTCTACATAAGTGCTTCAAACGATTCCAACTTAGGCCAGCTTCAAATTATTTTTAAACTTAAAAACAACAACTTTCAATGTCCACATTCAAGGGTTCAAGCATCATTGTATTGCCACATGCATAACTCTTAATGCATTTTGCTATATACTAAGATTAAATCCATGCATAGAAAGTTATCTGTTGTACAATTAGGAGTGCCGTTTCAACACAACAAGTTCATGTCATGTTAGGAAAGAAAGGAGGGGTCCAAATCCAAGTAAGAGGTAATGCAAAAATAATCAAATTAGCCACAAGAAAATTAAGGACTAAATCTTGTTCAAATCCTCACCAAACTCAAAAACCTGAGAACTACAATGAAGAATAAATTCAGAAACAGTAAAATGTACGCATATGATAAAAACTGGGTGGATAGAAAAATCCCATAGCAAGAATACAACTCACAGGACGTAGAGGAAGGCCCATGGGACTCAAGACACAGTCAGGAGCAGGAATTAGCCTTTCCCGTGGGTGGTGGAACCGACAGACTGCACCAAACTTACAATCTCCTGTCTTCATGTAGAATTGGCATTCAGGCTGGCCAGGTCTCTCAGGAAATATGTTCTCCCTCTGCAATGCATAAAACCCAACTGGAACAGTACCCGAACGGAGTTGAGAATATGCTCCATGTGATCCTGTGTTTGCTAGCTCACTTTGGCGAGAAGTTCCATATGTTTGACCATTTCTCATTGCTTGCTGCAGACTATCTGAAGTAGAGATTGATCCCATTTGACCCTGCAAAATAAATATTCTATCAAGACATTGACATGTATCAGCCAGGGCAGGTTCAAAAAAACAGTTGTGCGCATATGCACCATGTTGCATTATTACCAAAGTTAAAGGATTGATCACAATGTCTTCTGTTGAAAGACAAATACCATGAAATTTCACACCAACAGAGGTTCAACATCAATTTTACAGAGCAACAATTATCATAAATGACTTTCTCCATACATCTAACATAATCCTGATATCACATGCCTTAGAACCAGCCACAACGCAGAATAAAACTTTCTTGCTCTATTTTATTTCTTATGGAAATAATGGATGAGCTTACACTGTATGCACTCCACCCAGGCACTGAAACCACTCCCTGAGGAAGAATTAAGGGTGCATAACTTGAAGGACCTTGCCAGCGAGGACTAGGAATGTATGATGCCCTTGACCAATTTGTAATTCCTCCAGCATATGACTGCTGACCTGGTGTAGTTGGAGAATGAACGGTAGGGTAAACAGGAGAATCCTGTAATGAAAGCATCGTATTACTCGGTTGAGGATGGTGGAATTTGCAAGTGTTCCCAAATTTGCATTGTCCTGTTCTCAAATAATAAGTGCATTCTGGCTCATTCTGCAGAATCAGAAACAAAGAAAATATTTTGTAAGTTATATGAAACACTAGTATCAACCAGTAAGCAAGTAAAATTTCCATGAAAAGTTAAGTGGTCGGATATTAAATATCTGCATGCAAGAACACAGTTTTGGAACGTATATCCAGAACATCTGAATTTATGCAGGTGTGAAAATTTAATTGTTACCAAATGAGCGAAGATACAGTAATGAGCTAAAAAAATCTGAGCAACTACAATTGTAGTCAAAATTATAAATGAATCAGAGTAAAATATTAAAAACTAACGGGGCGGAGCGGATAGCCTAAAATATTTAAAGCAACTCTTCCAGCAATCCCAGCCTGGTCTTTAGGATGATGAAATTTGCATGTGGCTCCAAATTTGCAAGTTCCTGTCTTCAGATAGTACTGTAAAACAGACAAAAAAAAAAAAAAAGACATATCTTTGTTATGGTCATTGGTGAATGTTTAAATAAAGAATGCATGCCAAAATACAAATTAGTGCTCTGCCAATTCCTAGACAAGATTGATCTGATTTTCAGAAATTGCTAAACTCCACCTACAAGGAGCCAATTCCCAGATCATGTAAATAAATAAGCAACGTGCATCTTATGCATGCATTGAGAAACTAATACATGCCTGACATTCTGGTTGTCCTATTCTTTCTGGGAACTCGCCTATCATCCTGGCAGTGGCAATAGCCTGATAGGAGATCATCAGTAAGACTTATCAGGTATTTTTATATTTTCCATGTAATAGAATGATATCAACATAAAAATAAGTACAGTAAGATTCAACATATGCAGCTCTGCTAAAGTGAAATTCATTCATGTGTAACGAACATGGATGCGAAAATTGACATGCAAACATGCATAAAAAATGTGATATACACCTGCAAAAAGCTAAAAGGGGAAGAAAAAAAAAGTTGTTTCCACACCCAAAACTAGTTAGCAGTGCTGCATCAAGGAAGGAAGATACAGCAGATTGACATCCCTGGTGTTTCTGTGCATCTTTATCTGCTAAAATGCTGTCATAATCCAGTATAATGAATAGAGATGCACGTGATTCGAATAGAAACATAGTCAACAAACTAACCAAAAAAACTGGGTTGGACAAAAAATGTTAACTGACAACAGCAAATAGTTTCAAGTGTGCATAGATTCATCAAGTAGAGAGATTTTATTATTTTATAATGAGAATGAGAATGTGAATGATTCAAAACGAATCCATCTAAGAACAAAAAGAAAAAAGAAATAAATACATTACAACTTGTACCAGCTTCCTGTTAAGAGGATGATTGAATCGACACGTTGCACCAAATCTACAGAGTCCAGTTCTGATGTAGTATGAACAATCTGGCTCCCCTGGTCGCTCGGGATAAGCTCCAGAATCCATTGTTTCGTCAGTCCTCAAATTCATCATCCACAGTGAATCTGAAAAAACATCATGAACGCGTGAACCGCATGATATAAGTGAAACTGAAAGCACATCATCAATGCACACATGGCTACAAATCCCAAACCGACAATCAAAGATAATAAAAAGTGTCGGTGCAGCCTCCGTTGGAGAAAACTAAAATCCCGCTTAATTCACGATAAATAATTATAATAATAATTTTTTTCTTAAAAAAATTAGAAAAATAAAAAACGCTTCAATAGAAATAGAATTTGATTCTCTCAGCAGTTTAAATCAAGCAACAAAAGATTTTGATCTGAATTGAACACGTGACTTCTTCTAGTTCTAACAGCATTGGAACAAGAAATGTTGCTTTATTAATCTAACTCAATTAATTGGAGAAATGAAACTATAAAAGAAAGAAAAAAACAAAATGAAAGAGAAAAAACACCTTGTCCTTGGGAGAAAGAGGAATTATTGCCGCGTGGAATGATTCCATGAGGTTGAGGATTAGGGATGATGAGGTTTAGCTTCTTCTTCTCCATTCATAAGCTTTCAATTCTCATTTTTCACCTTCTCCACCCCATTCCTCAAATGAGAAACTTCTCCTCTCCACCAACCTGACCACAACTCTCATCTCTTCTTTCTCTCTCTTCTCCCACACGTGCCATCTCTTTTCTTTTTTCTTTTGACTTTTCCTCCTCTTAAACCAATGAAGCATTTTCGCTTTTTTATTATTTTAAATAGTAAAGTAATACAAACTTGACGAGTGAGTGAGTGCTCACCTCACTCTCTCGTCACACTCTCCCCTCGCACGCTCTACCTTTTCTTATTTCTATCGCATTAATTGGTGCCGCCACTCAAACCACAAAATCCCTCTTCTCCTAGTTTTCACTCTTGTGCAAAACGACAGCAGCTGCTTTTACACTTTCTATTCTCTTACCAGATTTCTTTTCTTTATTTCTAGACTATAAATAAAGGCTCTTAACTATAATAATATTATTGCATTTCAGATAGAAAAATAATTTCTAAATCATAATATATTTTCACTTTTTATTCATATTAAAATTTTATCATTTAATTATAAATTAATAAGTATGATTATTTTTTATTTCAAAAACTATTTTAAATTTATTTTTATCATAAAATTTTTAATTAATCATACAAAATAAAATAATAAATTACATTAATTGTATAAAATTATATCCATGTATTTTTTTTTCCACAGAACTCGTTATTTTAAAATATTATATAATTTGTTTATATCTTTTACATTCTTCTTATGTTTTATAAATATTACAGTATAATTATTAAACAAAACTATATAAAAATTTATCATTAGATAATATGTTTAAATTTTGGTCTGATTTTATATTTGACCAAAAGATTAATGGATTAGTAGATTAATTTTATCAGTAAAAAATATAAATATTTTTTAAATAATAAAAATAATTTTAATGAAAAATATAATATATTTTTAAAATGTTAGTTGTATTAATAAAAAAAATTATATTTTTAGTGTGATTGTTATTTTATAAAAAAAATCCGTGCAAATTAATTCTATTTAAATTCAATTTAGATTATAAAATAAATTAAATAAATAATATCTAAATTTTATTTAAATTATAATGTTTTATTTGATTTTACTATTTTTTATTTACAAGTCTGGCATATTAGATAAATTTATTTTTACAACTTTTTATTGTTTTTTCTTTTTACATTAAAAAAATTATTATAATAAAAAAAATAAAGATGTCTTGCATAAAGCTTAGTATAATTATTAAAATAAAACTATATTTTTAAAAAATTATTAAAAAATAATAAATAGTTGACTAATTGTTTTGTTTTATTTTAGTTTGAACATTAATGATGATTAATATGTTTATATGTCATTAGTTTGAATAAGATATTTTAATAATTTTATTGGAAAAGTTTGAGGGGAAAGATAATGTGATTAAATTATAATATTTTTAATTAGTTTTTATAATAGTTTTAAAATATATATATATATAAAGAATATTTTTTCAATTAAAATTTAAAACTTATAAAATTTAACATATGTTTATTGGATATTAATAGGTATATATATATATATATATATATATATATATATATATATATATATATATATATAGATTAATTTATATTACTAATTTGTTTACCGATATTAAAATATTAAATACACTCATTAATACCGTAAAACATTAGTAAATATTTACTAAATGAATTATAGTAACTCATACTTTTCACTTGATAAATAATGGAATTTATTGGGAAGCGAGAGGTTATAACCCTCAAGTTTTATAACTTACATTAATATTTATGATTTTGACATCTCTCAAACTAATGATTATTCTTAAAATTTTGTTTAGGAGATGTCAAAATAGGCTTAGATCAATGGGTCAATCTGAAATGCTTGAAAAAAAGGTTAGGCTAGATAAAAAAATTTATAGTCTAAATAAAAGCAAATCATTTTTTGTCCAACCTATTTAGTTCAGAGTCTAAATGGATTTAGACTAGGCTAGCCCGTAGGTTTATAGACTGACCCGTTTTCTACAATATTAATTATTTTTACAATAAAATAAAAATAATATTATTTTATTAAAAAATATATGTATAATAAATTAATTTGATAATATATTTTGTTATTATATATATATATATATATATATATATATATAACTTAGAAAGAATAATAAAATCTAAACATAAATTTTATTTATTTTTGTCATTTACTCCTATATTGTTGGTGTCACATTTACTTTTAAGGACTAATAGTTTATGACAACATATTCTTAAATGTAGTATATTTTCAAAATATCATGATGTTGAGTTATGTTGAATAATAAAACTAAATTGTTGAAACAATAAAATTTGACTCTTACAATTTATCAAGATATACTTGCTAGATGTAAAACTATATTGGAATAAGTTTGGTAGGTAAATAAAGTTTTAAATCCTCATTTTAAATTAATTACACTTTAATTACAGAGGTTTATAACATATATTTAATAGGATAAAAAAATCTAAAATAACTCTAGGCTACATGACTAAGGTCAATTTTATGATTTTATTTTATCTGAATAGGTTATGAGTTAATTTTAAATAAACAAACGAATAACATTTTATTTTCAAACAAAATTTAAAAAATTATATAAATAAAAAAATTATTTTTAATTAGGCAAAAAATAGTCTATTCGTCCATTGACCTAACATAAGACTAGGATAGGCAAAAAAATTTGGCCCATTTTTACAATCTGTTTCATACATTGATATAAGAAGTTTTATTTGACAATAAACAAAGTTTTAATTGGTGGGATATGTGCCCATTTATTAGTTGTTGATATTAAGTTAGTTCATTAGTTATAATAATATTTTTTTTAACTTTTAATATTAAATAATTAGATATAAATATTTTATAAAATAATATTTAATTTTTTTTTTGTTATTTGAAATTTAGTTAATTTTTGATATATTTTAAGAAATTGATAAAGTTGGATACTTGAAAATAACATTTAAATAAAAAAATACACTTAACAAATTACATAAAGGTTAATATGCATTACAAAAAAAAGTTAAAGTACAATTATTATGCATTACACAAAAATTATTATCCATTATAGAAAAGTTAAATTAGTCTCTGTAATAATGATCAGTTCCATAACGAGGATGTTGTCTATTACATCTTGGATTTCTTCTTTAATGTTTTTCTGGGTTGGTCCTTCTTGCGGTAGTGGTGGTTGTTTAGGTGGTTCATGGGAAAGGAAGACAGAGGAACTAGTTCCTTCATGATGATACCGTGGTGGGTAGATTAATTGTATATAATCATAGGATTTTTTTCAAATAAATTTGAGAAAAAATCATCTAAACTTTAAGCAAAAAAGTTGAATATGATCCATTGTCGATTGTGGTGGAGGTGTCTAGTAGGAAGTACTTGTGAACGGTTGGTGTGGAGGCATCTGAAATGACGTTGTAGTGGATGAGTCAGTTTCAAATATGTGTGATTGATTGTGTGCATGTTGTTGATTTATTGGATCTTGAAGTATTTCCGGAACAAACAATAAATAAATGGAATTGGCAGTGTATCATTCTACGTACTCTCCCGTGTGATAGAAAGACCTTTACAATGATAGACTTGGTAGTACAAGGTCTCGTCTGTTGTTTCATATATTGATCCATTCAAAATGCCTTATTTGTCAATTTTCATCAAGTCTCCCCTGCATGCCAATTTTGTGCAGGCTGTCTAAATTTTTAGATGGAGAAGGAACTTCTTGAAATAAATCAAATTGAAATTTGACCCGATCAGACTAATATCACTCCACAACTGCAAAACAAATTATGGATGTGCAAGATGTCCACAAATGTGAATCCTGGTATGTTTCTACTTGGTACTATTAATGTTTCTAACCTATGATGTCTATAAAAACTATAATGAAGTTATTAGTAAGTAGTTAGTAAAAATATTTAATAATAAAAGTGTTCACTGAGTTCACCTGGAGGTTAAATATGATCAATCTTTACTTAGTATCCAACCAGATCAATGTATGGTACATTTTGAAAGTTTAAAACCCAACCCCCACTTCATTTACACACTAATGGATACGTTGGTTGTAAGTGACTAATTGGTGCAATATGTGGCATGCGATGTCATACCCATGATTATAATAGTGAAGCACAATCTCCCATTATTTTTGTCGTGGCATCGGTTGCTTTACACATTTTTCTATACATAACCGTTAAACACGCAGAACCACTACAAGAAAAACATCAAATAGTGACCGAAAATTCGGTCACTAAATTTGCAAAATCGGTTACTAATTAAAATAGTGACCGAAATAGTGACCAACTGAAATCGGTCACTATTTCCTTGGTCACTGATTTTAGTGACCGATTCAGTGACCGAATATATATAACCAAATATATTTTTATTATATCTATTATTTATTTTTCCTATCTCTTAATTATATTATATTTTTTAGAAGTTTAACTTATTATTAGGTGGTTTATTGTCATTGTCAAGATTCGAACCCGGTACCTTAGAGTTGGAGGTCGAAACTCCAACCACTGAGCTACTAGGATCTTTTGATAATAACTTACAAATAAATTATATTTATATACAAATAAATGTATATCCGTATAAATATATAAATATAAAATCTATAAATAAAAATATATTTATATATTTTAATATATATTTAAATATTGATATATTTATATATTGATATATTTATATCTTTATATATTTTTACATATATTTATATTTTTATATATTATAATATTATACTATTAGTATAGTATATTATACTATTAGTATAGTATATTATACTATTAGTATAGTATATTATACTATTAGTATAGTATACAAATAATATATTAGTATAGTATAGTATACAAATTATTAATTTTGTAATTTATATACAATAAAAATAATATAATGGTATATTAGTATAGTATAGTATATTTGTATTATAATTTTTAATTAAATTAAAATTATGCTAATAATGTATATTAATATATGAGGGGATAATATTGATATATTGATATA